CAACAACAGGTCCTCTGGAAGGCACTAACGGGTCAGAGAGTCGCATGGAAGAAAGCTCTTCACTCGCTTCCCATCCCTCCCTCCCTCTGCTCCCACCGTTCCCCCTACTCCCCCCACCCTTCCCGAACAACAGGTCCTCTGGGAGGCACTAACGGTCCAGCGAGTCGCGTGGTAGAGAGCTCTTCACTCGCTCAATCTCAGATTCGCATCTCCGCGCTCCTCCTCTGCTCCTGGCGGGATTGCCAGAGGCAGAAAGAGGGGGAGAGGAGGAGGATGTGGGAGGCGAGGAGGGCGGAAGGAGGAGGGGAATGGAAAATGATGAGGAGGAGTGTGTGTGCTACCGGTGTCCATAAAAGCTCTCCCCTTCTCATCCACCCCTCCCTGTCCCCCCTGTCCCCCCTGTCCCCCCTGTTCCCCCTCTCCCCCCCCTCCTCTCTTCCACCCCCTTCTTTCCCCCTTCCTTCCCCTCTCCCCGCTCGCCTCTCTCAAACCAACAGCATGCTCCGCATCAAGAAAAAGGAGGTCGCTCAGACTTTTGAGTCGACTCAAAAGTCACCTCTGCTCCGCATCAAGAAAAAGGAGGTCGCTCGCTCCCTACCCGCACCCTCACCCCTTTTCAACCCTCCGTGCACTTCCTCCCCTCCCCTCCCCTACTTCTCCACCAAACCATCAGCAAGTTCCGCATCAAGAAGAAGGAGGTCGCTCGCTCCCTGCGCTGCGTCAACTGTAGTCCATCCCAACACATTCCAACCTCTCCCCACCCCCTGCACTTCCCCCTCTCCCCCCTCACCCTCCAAACCATCAGCAAGTTCCGCATCAAGAAGAAGGAGGTCGCCCACACCCTCCTCACAACACTCTTTCCTGGTACCCATCCTCTCACTCCTCTCTTCCCCCTCTCCCCCCTCACCCTCCAAACCATCAGCAAGTTCCGCATCAAGAAGAAGGAGGTCGCCCGCACCCTGCGCTGCGTCAACTGTAGTCCATCCCAACACATTCCAACCTCTCCCCACCCCCTGCACTTCCCCCTCTCCCCCCTCACCCTCCAAACCATCAGCAAGTTCCGCATCAAGAAGAAGGAGGTCGCCCACACCCTCCTCACAACACTCTTTCCTGGTACCCATCCTCTCACTCCTCTCTTCCCCCTCTCCCCCCTCACCCTCCAAACCATCAGCAAGTTCCGCATCAAGAAGAAGGAGGTCGCCCGCACCCTGCGCTGCGTCAACTGTAGTCCATCCCAACACATTCCAACCCCTCCCCATCCCCTGCACTCCCCCCTCTCCCCTCCCTTCCACCAAACCATCAGCAAGTTCCGCATCAAGAAGAAGGAGGTCGCTCGCTCCCTGCGCTGCGTCAACTGTGAGTCCATCCCCCCAAGTTCCCCCAAGTCAGTTTTTGAGTCGACTCGAAAACAGAGTCAACTGTGAGTCCCCGGCCCCCAAGTCTCGTGATAAAGGGGTGATTTTGCGACGTGAAGTACCCTTTTTGAGACGACTCAAAAACACCCTTTTATCACGTGCGTTGCGTTAACTGTGAGTCCCCGCCCCCCAAGTCCCCCCAAGTCATAGCATCCTAGCTGCACTGTAGCATCCTAGCTGCACTCTAGCATCCTAGCTGCACTGTAGCGGGGTGACCTTAAATCCACACTGCTACCTGCGTTGTGTCGACTGTAGAATCCACCCTTCCCCCCTTCCCCACAACCCCACCCTCCCCCCAAAAGAAAGTCCCAGCTGCATCCTAGAATTCTAGCTGCCCAGCCCAAGCACCCTACCATTCAAGCATTCCAGCATTATAGTACGGTATCCTAACTATGGTAACTGCATTGCGGCACTCCCTGCACTTTCTTTAGAATCCAAGCAAAAGTCACCTCACCCATTGTCACGTCACCCATTGTCACCTCACCCGTTCTCACCTCACCCGTTCTTGCCTCACCCACTGTAGGAGGAGATTCAGGAGGACAACAGGCAGCAGCACTGGTGCCTCTAGAAGGAAATTCAGGAGAACAACAGGCAGCAGCCATTTCCAAGCTAAAAAGCTCAAATAAGGCCCATTTCTCAAATAAGCTTCATCTGTTGCTTCTCTCACACAAGTCACATTTCTTGTACGGTACCGTACCTTCTACGGTGTAGGTATCAACTACCGTATCTGCATGTCCCTCTCTTATATAATCTTTGTAAAATGGCCATAAAGCCTTTTCAGCAGCAGTCTATCAACCTTGTAATATGTCGTACAGTACCATGTGTAATATGTAATAAACCACATGCCCTACAGCAAAGATCCTACACCCAGCAATGCCTCGCTACCTATCTCTGGCTCACCTTCACATTCCCCTCTTTCCCTCCCCTCGATGAGGCTCCTCCCCTCCCACCCCCTCCTCTCCCTCTCCCTCCCCTCCCTCCTCTCCCTCCCCTCCCTCCTCTTCCCCCTCCCCTCCCTCCACCTTTCCCTTGTTCTCCTGATGCCCCTCCTGCCGCTCCCCCTCCGGCCCCTCCTGTCGCTTCCCCTTCCGAACCTACTGGTTTGGTTCGGCGCTTGCTTCGCCAGAGCAGCCGGATCGGTGTGCCTTCAAAGTCAATATTCTCCCGAAGCTGATTTTCCATGTATCGCCGATACTGCTGCCCGAAAAGTTTCGCGTCGTTCACGAAAAACACAAAGGTCGGCGGGTTAGTCGCCGCCTGAGTGCTGTAATATATTTTTCCTCGCTTGTTACCCTTTCCGCCTCCGGGCAGCGGTTGAAAAGAAACAGCCTCTCCGACCACCTGGTTCAGCGTGGCCGTTGTAAGGCGCTTGGCCCGCTGCTGGGCAGCAAAACGGGCAGCTTCCAAAATCCTGAGCAAAGACGAGGCGAGAGAAGAGGAATAGAGTAAGTGTAAGCGAGAGAATTTGCATGTCAAGTAAGTGTGTGCGCCATGTGAGGGCATGCCAAGTAAGTGCGTGCCACATGACAAGCTGATGACGGTGCTGGTGATGGCCTTGCTAGGCGCTCAACTCGCACACCCATACACACACATCCTCACAGGCACTCACTTGGCCACCCTCTGCCCCGTGGTCGCAGAGGTGAACAGCAGGGGAGCCCAGGGCATGGAGCGCAGCTTCCCCCGCACGTCCTCCGTGTAGCTCACTGTGCTGGTGGCGTCTTTGTCTGCCTTTCTTGCAGGCCCCACAGATACACACACGCACTCGCAACCACATGCTCACATACACACTCACTTGGCCACTCTCTGCCCTGTTGTTGCGGACGTGAAGACCAGCGGAGCCCAGGGCATGGAGCGCAGCTTCCCCCGAACGTCCTCCGTGTAGCTCACTGTGCTGGTGGCGTCTTTGTCCGGCACGGTGTCCCACTTGTATTGTACCCACCCACACACTCAGGTACCCACAGCCACAGGTATCCACACACACAGGCACCCACCACACGGACTTGCACACATTCCCAACCCACAGGCACTCACTTTGCCACCCTTTGGCCTGTTGTTGCGGAGGTGAACACGAGCGGAGCCCAGGGCATGGAGCGCAGCTTCCCCCGCACGTCCTCCGTGTAGCTCAACGTGCTGGTGGCTTGGTTAGTTGTTCCCATAGCCTCACACACACACCCCCACAGCCACTGGTACCCACACTCACTTGGCCACTCTCTGCCCCGTCGTTGCGGAGGTGAACACCAGTGGAGCCCAGGGCATGGAGCGCAGCTTCCCCCGCACATCCTCCGTGTAGCTCAGCGTGCTGGTGGCCTCTTTATCCGGCACGGTGTCCCACTTGTTCACAATCACCACACACGCCTTGCCCTCCCTCTCTATCTGCTCTGCTAGGCGCAGATCCTACAGAGGGGAGGGGGTGATAACACGGAGATAACAAGGAAGAGCTGCTTTAGCCTGCTGGCTGTGCTTGTGGCGTCCTTGTCCGGCACCGTGTCCCACTTGTTCACAATCACCACGCACGCCTTGCCCTCCCTCTCCACCTGCTCTGCTAGGCGCTGGTCCTGTGGGAGAAAAGGGAGAGGGAGATGAGAGTGGAGCGAGGGAGAGGAGAGAGGGGAGAGATGAGAGAAGGCAGAAGAGAGAAAGAAGAGTGGAACGCAGGTCCTGGGGGAGGAGGGGAACGAGTAGAGAGAGAGGAAAGGGAAGGGCAATAGAGAGGAAAGGGGCGAGAAGAGAAAGAAGGACGGAGAAGATTTCTCATCACAATAGCTAGCTGACGGTCCTGGGTGGTGTTCTGTTCTTCCTAGGCACGGTATCCCATTTCCTCATTACGTGTTTGAACAAGTGTTTTGAGACGTCTCAAAACACTTCTTCAAACACGTGTGTTCTGCCCAGGCACGGTATCCCATTTCCTCATTACTATCACACACGAGTTCCCCTCCTGCACTCTTCTAGTCACACACACACCCACCTGCTCTGTGACGCACAGCATGGCATCAACCACAAGCCCCACCACGTCCGCCCGCCTGATGGATGTTGACTGCAATAGCTACCTACCCTACCCTGTTACTCCCATCCACCTGCTCTGTGACGCACAGCATGGCATCAACCACAAGCCCCACCACGTCCGCCCGCCTGATGGATGTTGACTGCAATAGCTACCTACCCTACCCTGTTACTCCCATCCACCTGCTCTGTGACGCACAGCATGGCATCAACCACAAGCCCCACCACGTCCGCCCGCCTGATGGATGTTGACTGCAATAGCTACCTACCCTACCCTGTTACTCCCATCCACCTGCTCTGTGACGCACAGCATGGCATCAACCACAAGCCCCACCACGTCCGCCCGCCTGATGGATGTTGACTGCAATAGCTACCTACCCTACCCTGTTACTCCCATCCACCTGCTCTGTGACGCACAGCATGGCATCAACAACAAGTCCCACCACGTCCGCCCGCCTTCCACACACATAGGGGCTTTAAACATCCCCTCACACACTCATACGCGCACCTGCTCTGTGACGCACAGCATGGCATCAACCACCAGCCCCACCACGTCCGCCCGCCTGATTGCCCTCAGCGCCCTACAGGTTAAACGCACCTGCTACTGCAATCCCTACCCCAACACGCACCTGCTCTGTGACACACAGCATGGCATCAACAACAAGCCCCACCACGTCCGCCCGCCTGATTGCCCTCAGCGCCCGATTCACCGACAGCCCCTCCGCCCTGCTGCCTGCTGCCACCGCTGCTCTCCTGCGCACCCCTGCCGTATCAATGAGTGTGTACTCCTGGATGGGAATTGCAGGGAGAGGGAGTGAGACAAAGTTAGGAAAGGACCTTCCGCCCTGCTGCCTGCTGCCACCGCTGCTCGCCTACGCACCCCTGCTGTGTCAATCAGAGTGTACTCCTGGATGGGGATTGCAGTAAGAAGCAGGGAGCGAGAGAGTAAAGGAGCAAAGTTAGGGAAGGAGTCTCCACCGCTGCTCGCCTGCACACCCCTGCTGTGTCGATAAGAGTGTATTCCTGCACACAGAGTGAGGAGAGGAAAGATAGCAGGGAGAAGGGATGAGAGAAGTTTAGGAAAGGACTCTCCGCCCTGTTGCCTGCTGCCACTGCTGCTTTCCTGCACACCCCTGCTGTGTCAATCAGAGTGTATTTTTAAATTGGAGTTGAAGTAAAAAGAGACTGCAAGCGGAGGGGGGGTGAGAAAAGTAAGGACCACCACTGCACTCACGCTTTCCTTGACAGGGAGAGACATCAAAGGGGAGAGACCACCCCTGGACCCCTCACACATGCACACACGCACACACACATACACAGACACAGAGACATACACCTACCTGCCCGTCTGGCCCGGTGAACTTGCTGTCGATGGCATCGCGGGTGGTGCTGCTGACAGGGCTCACGATGGTCCGTGGGACGTGGAAGAATACTGTGCGGGGGCACACAAACAGACACGAACAGACACACACACCCACCTGTCCGTCCGGTCCAGTGAATTTGCTGTCGATGGCATCTCTGGTGGTGCCGCTGACAGGGCTCACGATGGTCCTCTCCTCCCCCAGCAGCGCATTCACGATGCTGCTCTTGCCCACGTTGGGCCTCCCCACTATTGCCAGAGACACTCGGCCAAGCTGCAGGGGAGTGTGGGTTGAGGGAGCAGCATGGGGCGAGAGTGGTGAGAAATAAGAATAAAGGCAGCAATAAAAAAAAAACAAATGGTAAAATGAACCTCAAAACGGACCTGAATGGTAGCAGCAGAGTCTTTGCTAGTGGCCTTTTTCTTTTTAAAGTGCCTTCAAAAAAGAAAAAGGGCCTCAAAACAGACCTGAATTCCAGCAGTAGAGACTTTGCTGGTGGTGATGGTGGAAAAGAGAGAGGTGGGAGCGAATGCGTTGGGAGTGAATGAGCAAGCAGCAACCCAGCATCCACCAACCTGTGTGGTAGCAGCAGTGTCGCTGCCGGTGATGGTTGAGAGGGAGGGAAGCAATGTGTGTGTGTGTGTGTGTGTGGTAGCAACCAAGCAGGCGGCCAACCAACCTGTGTGGTAGCAGCAGTGTCGCTGCCAGTGATGGTTGAGAGGGAGGGAAGCAATGTGTGTGTGTGTGTGTGTGGTAGCAACCAAGCAGGCGGCCAACCAACCTGTGTGGTAGCAGCAGTGTCGCTGCCGGTGATGGTTGAGAGGGAGGGAAGCAATGTGTGTGTGTGTGTGTGTGGTAGCAACCAAGCAGGCGGCCAACCAACCTGTGTGGTAGCAGCAGTGTCGCTGCCGGTGATGGTTGAGAGGGAGGGAAGCAATGTGTGTGTGTGTGTGTGTGGTAGCAACCAAGCAGGCGGCCAACCAACCTGTGTGGTAGCAGCAGTGTCGCTGCCGGTGATGGTGGAGAGGGAAGTGGACGACTCAGGTTCCTGGAGAGAAGGAGGGGAGAAAGAGAAGAGGAGATGAGAGTGGAAGAGAGGAGAGGAGAGGAGAGGAGAGGAGAGGAGAGGAGAGGAGAGGAGAGGAGAGGAGAGGAGAGACGTGGGAAATCAGTGCATGAATAAGCATGGCGGGAGTCCAAGTAAAAGTCATTCTGCATTGGACTGACTAGTGCATCACCACACCACCCACTTCCGCATCGCCAATAACTCATCAACACCTTTCACCTCCGTTCTTCCCTCATCACCCTCCTCGCCCCGCCTCACCTCCTGGGACGAATTTTGAGGTGCCTCAAAAACCGCCCCGCCTCACCTCCTGGGATGGCAGTGCCTTGAGCAGCTCATCTAGCTAGTTGACTATGCCTGTGCCCTGCATTGCACTGACTGATATCTGTGTATGTATGCCCATCACTCACTTCCTTCCCTCACCTCCTGGGATGGCAGTGCCTTGAGCAGCTCATCTAGCTAGTTGACTATGCCTGTGCCCTGCATTGCCCTGACTGATATCTGTGTATGTATGCCCATCACTCACTTCCTTCCCTCAAATCCTGCGATGGCAGCGCCTTGAGCAGCTCATCCAGCAGGTCACCCATGCCCGTGCCCGTGCTTGCCCTTGCTCTTGCCTCACAATCACCTCCCTCCTCATTCACCAGGTGCCCGTGCCTCACCTCCTGCGATGGCAGCGCCTTGAGCAGCTCATCCAGCAGGTCACCCATGCCCGTGCCCGTGCTTGCCCTTGCTCTTGCCTCACAATCACCTCCCTCCTCATTCACCAGGTGCCCGTGCCTCACCTCCTGCGATGGCAGCGCCTTGAGCAGCTCATCCAGCAGGTCACCCATGCCCGTGCCCGTGCTTGCCCTTGCTCTTGCCTCACAATCACCTCCCTCCTCATTCACCAGGTGCCCGTGCCTCACCTCCTGCGATGGCAGCGCCTTGAGCAGCTCATCCAGCAGGTCACCCATGCCCGTGCCCGTGCTTGCCCTTGCTCTTGCCTCACAATCACCTCCCTCCTCATTCACCAGGTGCCCGTGCCTCACCTCCTGCGATGGCAGCGCCTTGAGCAGCTCATCCAGCAGGTCACCCATGCCCGTGCCCGTGCTTGCCCTTGCTCTTGCCTCACAATCACCTCCCTCCTCATTCACCAGGTGCCCGTGCCTCACCTCCTGCGATGGCAGCGCCTTGAGCAGCTCATCCAGCAGGTCACCCATGCCCGTGCCCGTGCTTGCCCTTGCTCTTGCCTCACAATCACCTCCCTCCTCATTCACCAGGTGCCCGTGCCTCACCTCCTGCGATGGCAGCGCCTTGAGCAGCTCATCCAGCAGGTCACCCATGCCCGTGCCCGTGCTTGCCCTTGCTCTTGCCTCACAATCACCTCCCTCCTCATTCACCAGGTGCCCGTGCCTCACCTCCTGCGATGGCAGCGCCTTGAGCAGCTCATCCAGCAGGTCACCCATGCCCGTGCCCGTGCTTGCCCTTGCTCTTGCCTCACAATCACCTCCCTCCTCATTCACCAGGTGCCCGTGCCTCACCTCCTGCGATGGCAGCGCCTTGAGCAGCTCATCCAGCAGGTCACCCATGCCCGTGCCCGTGCTTGCCCTTGCTCTTGCCTCACAATCACCTCCCTCCTCATTCACCAGGTGCCCGTGCCTCACCTCCTGCGATGGCAGCGCCTTGAGCAGCTCATCCAGCAGGTCACCCATGCCCGTGCCCGTGCTTGCCCTTGCTCTTGCCTCACAATCACCTCCCTCCTCATTCACCAGGTGCCCGTGCCTCACCTCCTGCGATGGCAGCGCCTTGAGCAGCTCATCCAGCAGGTCACCCATGCCCGTGCCCGTGCTTGCCCTTGCTCTTGCCTCACAATCACCTCCCTCCTCATTCACCAGGTGCCCGTGCCTCACCTCCTGCGATGGCAGCGCCTTGAGCAGCTCATCCAGCAGGTCACCCATGCCCGTGCCCGTGCTTGCCCTTGCTCTTGCCTCACAATCACCTCCCTCCTCATTCACCAGGTGCCCGTGCCTCACCTCCTGCGATGGCAGCGCCTTGAGCAGCTCATCCAGCAGGTCACCCATGCCCGTGCCCGTGCTTGCCCTTGCTCTTGCCTCACAATCACCTCCCTCCTCATTCACCAGGTGCCCGTGCCTCACCTCCTGCGATGGCAGCGCCTTGAGCAGCTCATCCAGCAGGTCACCCATGCCCGTGCCCGTGCTTGCCCTTGCTCTTGCCTCACAATCACCTCCCTCCTCATTCACCAGGTGCCCGTGCCTCACCTCCTGCGATGGCAGCGCCTTGAGCAGCTCATCCAGCAGGTCACCCATGCCCGCGCCCGTGCTTGCCCTTGCTCTTGCCTCACAATCACCTCCCTCCTCATTCACCAGGTGCCCGTGCCTCACCTCCTGCGATGGCAGCGCCTTGAGCAGCTCATCCAGCAGGTCATCCATGCCCGTGCCCGTGCTTGCCCTTGCTCTTGCCTCACAATCACCTCCCTCCTCATTCACCAGGTGCCCGTGCCTCACCTCCTGCGATGGCAGCGCCTTGAGCAGCTCATCCAGCAGGTCACCCATGCCCGTGCCCGTGCTTGCCCTTGCTCTTGCCTCACAATCACCTCCCTCCTCATTCACCAGGTGCCCGTGCCTCACCTCCTGCGATGGCAGCGCCTTGAGCAGCTCATCCAGCAGGTCACCCATGCCCGCGCCCGTGCTTGCCCTTGCTCTTGCCTCACAATCACCTCCCTCCTCATTCACCAGGTGCCCGTGCCTCACCTCCTGCGATGGCAGCGCCTTGAGCAGCTCATCCAGCAGGTCACCCATGCCCGTGCCCGTGCTTGCCCTTGCTCTTGCCTCACAATCACCTCCCTCCTCATTCACCAGGTGCCCGTGCCTCACCTCCTGCGATGGCAGCGCCTTGAGCAGCTCATCCAGCAGGTCACCCATGCCCGTGCCCGTGCTTGCCCTTGCTCTTGCCTCACAATCACCTCCCTCCTCATTCACCAGGTGCCCGTGCCTCACCTCCTGCGATGGCAGCGCCTTGAGCAGCTCATCCAGCAGGTCACCCATGCCCGTGCCCGTGCTTGCCCTTGCTCTTGCCTCACAATCACCTCCCTCCTCATTCACCAGGTGCCCGTGCCTCACCTCCTGCGATGGCAGCGCCTTGAGCAGCTCATCCAGCAGGTCACCCATGCCCGTGCCCGTGCTTGCCCTTGCTCTTGCCTCACAATCACCTCCCTCCTCATTCACCAGGTGCCCGTGCCTCACCTCCTGCGATGGCAGCGCCTTGAGCAGCTCATCCAGCAGGTCACCCATGCCCGTGCCCGTGCTTGCCCTTGCTCTTGCCTCACAATCACCTCCCTCCTCATTCACCAGGTGCCCGTGCCTCACCTCCTGCGATGGCAGCGCCTTGAGCAGCTCATCCAGCAGGTCACCCATGCCCGTGCCCGTGCTTGCCCTTGCTCTTGCCTCACAATCACCTCCCTCCTCATTCACCAGGTGCCCGTGCCTCACCTCCTGCGATGGCAGCGCCTTGAGCAGCTCATCCAGCAGGTCACCCATGCCCGTGCCCGTGCTTGCCCTTGCTCTTGCCTCACAATCACCTCCCTCCTCATTCACCAGGTGCCCGTGCCTCACCTCCTGCGATGGCAGCGCCTTGAGCAGCTCATCCAGCAGGTCACCCATGCCCGTGCCCGTGCTTGCCCTTGCTCTTGCCTCACAATCACCTCCCTCCTCATTCACCAGGTGCCCGTGCCTCACCTCCTGCGATGGCAGCGCCTTGAGCAGCTCATCCAGCAGGTCACCCATGCCCGTGCCCGTGCTTGCCCTTGCTCTTGCCTCACAATCACCTCCCTCCTCATTCACCAGGTGCCCGTGCCTCACCTCCTGCGATGGCAGCGCCTTGAGCAGCTCATCCAGCAGGTCACCCATGCCCGTGCCCGTGCTTGCCCTTGCTCTTGCCTCACAATCACCTCCCTCCTCATTCACCAGGTGCCCGTGCCTCACCTCCTGCGATGGCAGCGCCTTGAGCAGCTCATCCAGCAGGTCACCCATGCCCGTGCCCGTGCTTGCCCTTGCTCTTGCCTCACAATCACCTCCCTCCTCATTCACCAGGTGCCCGTGCCTCACCTCCTGCGATGGCAGCGCCTTGAGCAGCTCATCCAGCAGGTCACCCATGCCCGTGCCCGTGCTTGCCCTTGCTCTTGCCTCACAATCACCTCCCTCCTCATTCACCAGGTGCCCGTGCCTCACCTCCTGCGATGGCAGCGCCTTGAGCAGCTCATCCAGCAGGTCACCCATGCCCGTGCCCGTGCTTGCCCTTGCTCTTGCCTCACAATCACCTCCCTCCTCATTCACCAGGTGCCCGTGCCTCACCTCCTGCGATGGCAGCGCCTTGAGCAGCTCATCCAGCAGGTCACCCATGCCCGTGCCCGTGCTTGCCCTTGCTCTTGCCTCACAATCACCTCCCTCCTCATTCACCAGGTGCCCGTGCCTCACCTCCTGCGATGGCAGCGCCTTGAGCAGCTCATCCAGCAGGTCACCCATGCCCGTGCCCGTGCTTGCCCTTGCTCTTGCCTCACAATCACCTCCCTCCTCATTCACCAGGTGCCCGTGCCTCACCTCCTGCGATGGCAGCGCCTTGAGCAGCTCATCCAGCAGGTCACCCATGCCCGTGCCCGTGCTTGCCCTTGCTCTTGCCTCACAATCACCTCCCTCCTCATTCACCAGGTGCCCGTGCCTCACCTCCTGCGATGGCAGCGCCTTGAGCAGCTCATCCAGCAGGTCACCCATGCCCGTGCCCGTGCTTGCCCTTGCTCTTGCCTCACAATCACCTCCCTCCTCATTCACCAGGTGCCCGTGCCTCACCTCCTGCGATGGCAGCGCCTTGAGCAGCTCATCCAGCAGGTCACCCATGCCCGTGCCCGTGCTTGCCCTTGCTCTTGCCTCACAATCACCTCCCTCCTCATTCACCAGGTGCCCGTGCCTCACCTCCTGCGATGGCAGCGCCTTGAGCAGCTCATCCAGCAGGTCACCCATGCCCGTGCCCGTGCTTGCCCTTGCTCTTGCCTCACAATCACCTCCCTCCTCATTCACCAGGTGCCCGTGCCTCACCTCCTGCGATGGCAGCGCCTTGAGCAGCTCATCCAGCAGGTCACCCATGCCCGTGCCCGTGCTTGCCCTTGCTCTTGCCTCACAATCACCTCCCTCCTCATTCACCAGGTGCCCGTGCCTCACCTCCTGCGATGGCAGCGCCTTGAGCAGCTCATCCAGCAGGTCACCCATGCCCGTGCCCGTGCTTGCCCTTGCTCTTGCCTCACAATCACCTCCCTCCTCATTCACCAGGTGCCCGTGCCTCACCTCCTGCGATGGCAGCGCCTTGAGCAGCTCATCCAGCAGGTCACCCATGCCCGTGCCCGTGCTTGCCCTTGCTCTTGCCTCACAATCACCTCCCTCCTCATTCACCAGGTGCCCGTGCCTCACCTCCTGCGATGGCAGCGCCTTGAGCAGCTCATCCAGCAGGTCACCCATGCCCGTGCCCGTGCTTGCCCTTGCTCTTGCCTCACAATCACCTCCCTCCTCATTCACCAGGTGCCCGTGCCTCACCTCCTGCGATGGCAGCGCCTTGAGCAGCTCATCCAGCAGGTCACCCATGCCCGTGCCCGTGCTTGCCCTTGCTCTTGCCTCACAATCACCTCCCTCCTCATTCACCAGGTGCCCGTGCCTCACCTCCTGCGATGGCAGCGCCTTGAGCAGCTCATCCAGCAGGTCACCCATGCCCGTGCCCGTGCTTGCCCTTGCTCTTGCCTCACAATCACCTCCCTCCTCATTCACCAGGTGCCCGTGCCTCACCTCCTGCGATGGCAGCGCCTTGAGCAGCTCATCCAGCAGGTCACCCATGCCCGTGCCCGTGCTTGCCCTTGCTCTTGCCTCACAATCACCTCCCTCCTCATTCACCAGGTGCCCGTGCCTCACCTCCTGCGATGGCAGCGCCTTGAGCAGCTCATCCAGCAGGTCACCCATGCCCGTGCCCGTGCTTGCCCTTGCTCTTGCCTCACAATCACCTCCCTCCTCATTCACCAGGTGCCCGTGCCTCACCTCCTGCGATGGCAGCGCCTTGAGCAGCTCATCCAGCAGGTCACCCATGCCCGTGCCCGTGCTTGCCCTTGCTCTTGCCTCACAATCACCTCCCTCCTCATTCACCAGGTGCCCGTGCCTCACCTCCTGCGATGGCAGCGCCTTGAGCAGCTCATCCAGCAGGTCACCCATGCCCGTGCCCGTGCTTGCCCTTGCTCTTGCCTCACAATCACCTCCCTCCTCATTCACCAGGTGCCCGTGCCTCACCTCCTGCGATGGCAGCGCCTTGAGCAGCTCATCCAGCAGGTCACCCATGCCCGTGCCCGTGCTTGCCCTTGCTCTTGCCTCACAATCACCTCCCTCCTCATTCACCAGGTGCCCGTGCCTCACCTCCTGCGATGGCAGCGCCTTGAGCAGCTCATCCAGCAGGTCACCCATGCCCGTGCCCGTGCTTGCCCTTGCTCTTGCCTCACAATCACCTCCCTCCTCATTCACCAGGTGCCCGTGCCTCACCTCCTGCGATGGCAGCGCCTTGAGCAGCTCATCCAGCAGGTCACCCATGCCCGTGCCCGTGCTTGCCCTTGCTCTTGCCTCACAATCACCTCCCTCCTCATTCACCAGGTGCCCGTGCCTCACCTCCTGCGATGGCAGCGCCTTGAGCAGCTCATCCAGCAGGTCACCCATGCCCGTGCCCGTGCTTGCCCTTGCTCTTGCCTCACAATCACCTCCCTCCTCATTCACCAGGTGCCCGTGCCTCACCTCCTGCGATGGCAGCGCCTTGAGCAGCTCATCCAGCAGGTCACCCATGCCCGTGCCCGTGCTTGCCCTTGCTCTTGCCTCACAATCACCTCCCTCCTCATTCACCAGGTGCCCGTGCCTCACCTCCTGCGATGGCAGCGCCTTGAGCAGCTCATCCAGCAGGTCACCCATGCCCGTGCCCGTGCTTGCCCTTGCTCTTGCCTCACAATCACCTCCCTCCTCATTCACCAGGTGCCCGTGCCTCACCTCCTGCGATGGCAGCGCCTTGAGCAGCTCATCCAGCAGGTCACCCATGCCCGTGCCCGTGCTTGCCCTTGCTCTTGCCTCACAATCACCTCCCTCCTCATTCACCAGGTGCCCGTGCCTCACCTCCTGCGATGGCAGCGCCTTGAGCAGCTCATCCAGCAGGTCACCCATGCCCGTGCCCGTGCTTGCCCTTGCTCTTGCCTCACAATCACCTCCCTCCTCATTCACCAGGTGCCCGTGCCTCACCTCCTGCGATGGCAGCGCCTTGAGCAGCTCATCCAGCAGGTCACCCATGCCCGTGCCCGTGCTTGCCCTTGCTCTTGCCTCACAATCACCTCCCTCCTCATTCACCAGGTGCCCGTGCCTCACCTCCTGCGATGGCAGCGCCTTGAGCAGCTCATCCAGCAGGTCACCCATGCCCGTGCCCGTGCTTGCCCTTGCTCTTGCCTCACAATCACCTCCCTCCTCATTCACCAGGTGCCCGTGCCTCACCTCCTGCGATGGCAGCGCCTTGAGCAGCTCATCCAGCAGGTCACCCATGCCCGTGCCCGTGCTTGCCCTTGCTCTTGCCTCACAATCACCTCCCTCCTCATTCACCAGGTGCCCGTGCCTCACCTCCTGCGATGGCAGCGCCTTGAGCAGCTCATCCAGCAGGTCACCCATGCCCGTGCCCGTGCTTGCCCTTGCTCTTGCCTCACAATCACCTCCCTCCTCATTCACCAGGTGCCCGTGCCTCACCTCCTGCGATGGCAGCGCCTTGAGCAGCTCATCCAGCAGGTCACCCATGCCCGTGCCCGTGCTTGCCCTTGCTCTTGCCTCACAATCACCTCCCTCCTCATTCACCAGGTGCCCGTGCCTCACCTCCTGCGATGGCAGCGCCTTGAGCAGCTCATCCAGCAGGTCACCCATGCCCGTGCCCGTGCTTGCCCTTGCTCTTGCCTCACAATCACCTCCCTCCTCATTCACCAGGTGCCCGTGCCTCACCTCCTGCGATGGCAGCGCCTTGAGCAGCTCATCCAGCAGGTCACCCATGCCCGTGCCCGTGCTTGCCCTTGCTCTTGCCTCACAATCACCTCCCTCCTCATTCACCAGGTGCCCGTGCCTCACCTCCTGCGATGGCAGCGCCTTGAGCAGCTCATCCAGCAGGTCACCCATGCCCGTGCCCGTGCTTGCCCTTGCTCTTGCCTCACAATCACCTCCCTCCTCATTCACCAGGTGCCCGTGCCTCACCTCCTGCGATGGCAGCGCCTTGAGCAGCTCATCCAGCAGGTCACCCATGCCCGTGCCCGTGCTTGCCCTTGCTCTTGCCTCACAATCACCTCCCTCCTCATTCACCAGGTGCCCGTGCCTCACCTCCTGCGATGGCAGCGCCTTGAGCAGCTCATCCAGCAGGTCACCCATGCCCGTGCCCGTGCTTGCCCTTGCTCTTGCCTCACAATCACCTCCCTCCTCATTCACCAGGTGCCCGTGCCTCACCTCCTGCGATGGCAGCGCCTTGAGCAGCTCATCCAGCAGGTCACCCATGCCCGTGCCCGTGCTTGCCCTTGCTCTTGCCTCACAATCACCTCCCTCCTCATTCACCAGGTGCCCGTGCCTCACCTCCTGCGATGGCAGCGCCTTGAGCAGCTCATCCAGCAGGTCACCCATGCCCGTGCCCATGGTTGGCCTCCTGCCACACGCATGCATCGTCCCTCACCCCTCACCTCCCCCCCATCCCCTCACCTCCTGCCATGGCAGCGCATTGAGCAACGTGCCCATGCCCGTACCCATGCCCGTGCCCATGCCCGTGCCCATGCCCGTACCCATGCCCGTACCCATGCCCGTGCCCATGCCCGTACCCATGCCCGTACCCATGCCCGTGCCCATGCCCGTGCCCATGCTCATCCCCATAGTGGGGCGACCCAACGTGGGCAAGTCGGTTCTCTTCAACCGCCTTGTGGGGGTGAGTATATAAGCGGAGTGGGGTGCAGTGGAGTGGAGTGCAGTGAAGTGGTGTGGGGTGCAGTGGAGTGAAATGGAGTGCAGTGGAGTGAAATGGAGTGCAGTGGAGTGGAGTGGAGTGTTGTGGTCAATTGTTGGAGTGTGATTTCTGGCTGACTGGAGGGTAACTCCCACAAGTTCTGCCCGTAACTCTCTTCCCCTCTTCCCTCCCCAAGTTCTGTCACAGCATCATCATGGGTGCACACATCATGAGTGCACAACGAGCCAAGCTCCGATGCTCCCCCAATCTCACCACCACTCCTCCCACCCACCCCCACCCCCTCCTAGTGCACTGCTGCTGCTGCTGCTGCTGCTGCTGCTGCTGCTGCTGCTGCTGCTGCTGCTGCTGCTGCTGCTGCTGCTGCTGCTGCTGCTGCTGCTGCTGGTGGTGGTGCCGCTGCTGCTTCTGAAGCTCAGTAACATGCTGTTCTTTCTCCTCCCATCCTCCCATCCCCTTCCCCCCCGCGCCCCCCCAGCGCAACATAGCCATAGTGCATGACGAGCCCGGGGTGACAAGGGACCGCCTGTACGCGCGTGCGCTCTGCTGCTGCTGCTGCTGCTGCTGAAATCTCAGTAACATGCTGTTTTTCTCTCCTCCCCCCTCCTCTGCCTCCCCCAGTGCAACATAGCAATAGTGCACGACGAGCCCGGGGTGACAAGGGACAGGCTGTACGCGCGTGCTCTCTGGGAGGGCAGGCGATTTCTTCTCACCGACACCGGAGGCCTCATGGACGCACCCAACGCTGCTGCTGGTGGTCATGGTGCCGGTGGTGCTGGTGGTGGTGCTAGTGCTGCTGCTAGTGGTGCTGCTTTTGCTGCTTCTCAATCCCATCCTCCTCCCCCCCGCATCCCCCTTCCCCCTTCCTCCCCTCCCCACCAGCGCAACATAGCCATAGTGCACGACGAGCCCGGGGTGACAAGGGACCGCCTGTACGCGCGTGCTCTCTGGGAGGGCCGGCAATTCCTTCTCACCGACACCGGAGGCCTCATGGACGCACCTAATGCTGCCGCTGCTGCTGCCGCTGCTACCAGTGGTGCTAGCGGTGCTGCTGCTGCTGCTGCTGCGGTGGCTGATGGTGCAGGGGGTGTGGGTGCAAAGAGGGGCAAGGGCGGGAGAGGGGGGAGGGCAGGGCGCGGATCTGCTTCGTCCACGGCATTGTTGGCACTGGCCAAGGCGGATGGCGTTGCTGTCATCGGTGAGTGGATGTAACAGGTCGGCACTTGTGTGAGTGAACCTAGTCAAGGGCGGGAGAGGGGGGAGGGCAGGGCGGGGATCTGCTTCCTCCACAGCCTTGCTCGCACTGGCCAAGGCGGATGGCGTCTTTGTTATCGGTGAGCAATTGTAATGGCCGATTGATTAAAAACAGGGTTTTCGTTAGACAGGTAGACAAAAGGCTAGAGGGCCTTCTCTTGCCTTGCCGCCATGGGACTATGTCCTTTTGGTCTTATAATTCGTGGGTGAGGTGATGATGAGACAATTTTATGAGTCAACTAAAAAGTTGTCTCTTGCCGCCATGGGATTATGTCCTTTTGGTCTTATATCAGACGCACAAGGCCTCTCCGCCTTGATTCTATGAACTCGTTCTTTCGTTGGTGTTCACTTACGTAAAGAACTGAACCATCGGTGTGGCGGGTACAGGTGGCGGCAGGCGATTGGCTAACGAGCGGGCGGCGAAGGAGGCTGAGGTGGCGGGTCTGCCGGAGCTGATTGGGCGGCAGGCTGCTGCTGCGGTGGAGGAGGCTGATGCGATCATCATGGTGGTCGATGGGCAGGTGGGTTGATGGGCAGGTGGGTTGATGGGCAGGTGGGTTGAGAGGGATTCCGAGGAGCAAGTATCGTGGCTTATTTTCGGTTTTCTTCTAGAGCCTAGAGGTGGTGGTGGTGGTGGTGGTGGTGCTGCTGCTGCTGCTGCTGCTGCTGCCGCTGCGGTGGAGGAGGCTGAGGGCGTATTCCATGTTGGTGGCATGGCAACTGTTCACGTCGAGCTGGTGGCAACTCTACCCAAAAATTCAGTGGGCCGGAGAATGCGCATGCCACCAACAGTGCGATGAACAGTTGCTCTGCCACCAACATGGAATACGCCCTGATGCGATTATCATGGTGGTGGATGGGCAGGTGGGTTGATGGGCAGGCAGGGGATGGCTGTAATGCGGGGAGCTCTTAAGGTTTATATTTAGGAGGTTTGACTTGGTCTCTAGGGGTTAGGATTTCGGGGTGTTGAGGGCAGGCTGCTGCTGCTGCTGCTGCTGGCGTGGAGGAGGCTGATGCGATCATTATGGTGGTCGATGGGCGGTTGGGGAGAGGTTTTCGAGGTTGACAATAACACCAGTCACGAGGTGTTAAGGTTTCCTTGTTTCAAAAAAAAAAAAAAAAAAAGGCAGGGTTAGGAATCTACCACTTATTGGGATAGAAGTTTTTTATGAAGCTTATTTATTGCATCTGCTTTCCTCTCCCCACATCGCCCTCAACAACAACCCCCACTCCAAACCCTGCCAGGCTGGCGCAACAGCTGCTGACGTGGAGATAGCTCAGTGGCTGCGGCGGCGCCACGTGGCGAGCAGCAAGCCAGTCTTCCTGGCAGTCAACAAGTGCGAGTCACCCACCAAAGGGCTCCTGCAAACCGCCGAGTTCTGGTCGCTGGGGTGAGTGGAAGAGAAGAGGGGGAGGGAGGAAGTGTGCCACGTGGCAAGCAGCAAGCCAGTGTTCCTGACAGTCAATAAGTGCGAATCACCCACCAAGGGGCTCCTGCAAACCGCCGAGTTCTGGTCGCTGGGGTGAGTGAGAGGAGAGGAGGGGGAGGGAGGGAGTGTGCCACGTGGCAAGCAGCAAGCCAGTGTTCCTGACAGTCAATAAGTGCGAATCACCCACCAAGAGGCTCCTGCAAACCGCCGAGTTCTGGTCGCTGGGGTGAGTGAGAGGAGAGGAGGGGGAGGGAGGGAGTGTGCCACGTGGCAAGCAGCAAGCCAGTGTTCCTGACAGTCAATAAGTGCGAATCACCCACCAAGGGGCTCCTGCAAACCGCCGAGTTCTGGTCGCTGGGGTGAGTGAGAGGAGAGGAGGGGGAGGGAGGGACTGTGCCACGTGGCAAGCAGCAAGCCAGTGTTCCTGGCAGTGAACAAGTGCGAGTCGCCCACCAAGGGGCTCCTGCAGACCGCAGAATTCTGGTCGCTGGGGTGAGTTAGAGGAGGGGACCGGGAGAGGGGTGAGTGAGGTGGTGGGGTGAGTGGAAGAGAGGTGAGTGAGGTGGTGGGGTGAGTGGAAGAGGGGTGAGTGAGGTGGTGGGGTGAGTGGAAGAGGGGTGAGTGAGGTGGTGGGGTGAGTGGAAGAGGGGTGAGTGAGGTGGTGGGGTGAGTGGAAGAGGGGTGAGTGAGGTGGTGGGGTGAGTGGAAGAGGGGTGAGTGAGGTGGTGGGGTGAGTGGAAGAGGGGTGAGTGAGGTGGTGGGGTGAGTGGAAGAGGGGTGAGTGAGGTGGTGGGGTGAGTGGAAGAGGGGTGAGTGAGGTGGTGGGGTGAGTGGAAGAGGGGTGAGTGAGGTGGTGGGGTGAGTGGAAGAGGGGTGAGTGAGGTGGTGGGGTGAGTGGAAGAGGGGTGAGTGAGGTGGTGGGGTGAGTGGAAGAGGGGTGAGTGAGGTGGTGGGGTGAGTGGAAGAGGGGTGAGTGAGGTGGTGGGGTGAGTGGAAGAGGGGTGAGTGAGGTGGTGGGGTGAGAAATGGAGGGAGGAGTGTGGGGAGGGATATTGGTGAGGTACCCAGCGTGACTCCCGTGGCGGTGTTTGCACTCTCAGGCACACTTTCTGAGAGAACTTCACGTTCCCCTAACCCCCCCATCCGCTTGCCCCCTCCTCCTCCCATGCCTCCATGCCCCACCGCAACCTCACACCCCCATGCCGCTATCTGCCCTCCCCCTCTCCTCCCTTCCCCCAATGCCCCACCGCAGCCTGACCCCGTTGGCAGTGTCGGCCCTCTCAGGCACGGGCACGGGTGATCTGCTGGATGAGTTGCTTAGTATTTACACACACGCACCCTCTCCCCCCCCGTGCTCCGTCACCTCCCCTGCTGCTTCCCCCGCCCCAGCCTGACCCCGTTGGCAGTGTCGGCCCTCTCAGGCACGGGCACGGGTGATCTGCTGGATGAGTTGCTTAGTATTTACACACACGCACCCTCTCCCCCCCCGTGCTCCGTCACCTCCCCTGCTGCTTCCCCCGCCCCAGCCTGACCCCCTTGGCCGTGTCGGCCCTCTCAGGCACGGGCACGGGTGATCTGCTGGATGAGTTGCTTAGTATTTACACACACGCACCCTCTCCCCCCCCGTGCTCCGTCACCTCCCCTGCTGCTTCCCCCGCCCCAGCCTGACCCCCTTGGCCGTGTCGGCCTCTCAGGCACGGGCACGGGTGATCTGCTGGATGAGTTGCTTAGTATTTACACACACGCACCCTCTCCCCCCCCGTGCTCCGTCACCTCCCCTGCTGCTTCCCCCGCCCCAGCCTGACCCCCTTGGCCGTGTCGGCCCTCTCAGGCACGGGCACGGGTGATCTGCTGGATGAGTTGCTTAGTATTTACACACACGCACCCTCTCCCCCCCCGTGCTCCGTCACCTCCCCTGCTGCTTCCCCCGCCCCAGCCTGACCCCCTTGGCCGTGTCGGCCTCTCAGGCACGGGCACGGGTGATCTGCTGGATGAGTTGCTTAGTATTTACACACACGCACCCTCTCCCCCCCCGTGCTCCGTCACCTCCCCTGCTGCTTCCCCCGCCCCAGCCTGACCCCCTTGGCCGTGTCGGCCCTCTCAGGCACGGGCACGGGTGATCTGCTGGATGAGTTGCTTAGTATTTACACACACGCACCCTCTCCCCCCCCGTGCTCCGTCACCTCCCCTGCTGCTTCCCCCGCCCCAGCCTGACCCCGTTGGCAGTGTCGGCCCTCTCAGGCACGGGCACGGGTGATCTGCTGGATGAGTTGCTTAGTATTTACACACACGCACCCTCTCCCCCCCCGTGCTCCGTCACCTCCCCTGCTGCTTCCCCCGCCCCAGCCTGACCCCCTTGGCCGTGTCGGCCTCTCAGGCACGGGCACGGGTGATCTGCTGGATGAGTTGCTTAGTATTTACACACACGCACCCTCTCCCCCCCCGTGCTCCGTCACCTCCCCTGCTGCTTCCCCCGCCCCAGCCTGACCCCCTTGGCCGTGTCGGCCCTCTCAGGCACGGGCACGGGTGATCTGCTGGATGAGTTGCTTAGTATTTACACACACGCACCCTCTCCCCCCCCGTGCTCCGTCACCTCCCCTGCTGCTTCCCCCGCCCCAGCCTGACCCCCTTGGCCGTGTCGGCCCTCTCAGGCACGGGCACGGGTGATCTGCTGGATGAGTTGCTTAGTATTTACACACACGCACCCTCTCCCCCCCCGTGCTCCGTCACCTCCCCTGCTGCTTCCCCCGCCCCAGCCTGACCCCCTTGGCCGTGTCGGCCCTCTCAGGCACGGGCACGGGTGATCTGCTGGATGAGTTGCTTAGTATTTACACACACGCACCCTCTCCCCCCCCGTGCTCCGTCACCTCCCCTGCTGCTTCCCCCGCCCCAGCCTGACCCCCTTGGCCGTGTCGGCCCTCTCAGGCACGGGCACGGGTGATCTGCTGGATGAGTTGCTTAGTATTTACACACACGCACCCTCTCCCCCCCCGTGCTCCGTCACCTCCCCTGCTGCTTCCCCCGCCCCAGCCTGACCCCCTTGGCCGTGTCGGCCCTCTCAGGCACGGGCACGGGTGATCTGCTGGATGAGTTGCTTAGTATTTACACACACGCACCCTCTCCCCCCCCGTGCTCCGTCACCTCCCCTGCTGCTTCCCCCGCCCCAGCCTGACCCCCTTGGCCGTGTCGGCCCTCTCAGGCACGGGCGCGGGTGATCTGCTGGATGAGTTGCTTAGTATTTACACACACGCACCCTCTCCCCCCCCGTGCTCCGTCACCTCCCCTGCTGCTTCCCCCGCCCCAGCCTGACCCCCTTGGCCGTGTCAGCCCTCTCAGGCACGGGCACGGGTGATCTGCTGGATGAGTTGCTCAAGGCACTGCCGTCTCAGGAGGTGAGGTACAGCAACCTGGTGAATGAAGTGGCTGGTAAGTCGAGCTTTGAGTCGACTCAAAAGTCGTCTCAGGAGGTGAGGTACAGCAACCTGGTGAATGAAGTGGCTGGTAAGGATCGCGGCAGCAGATGCTCCGGTACCTGCCATCGTGGCCGCATGCCATCATGGCCCCATGTCATCGTGCCATCGTGGCCACATGCCATCGTGCCACCATGCCACCATGCCATCGTGCCACCACGACTGTCAAGAGTAAACAAAGGATGTAAAGAAAGAATTATGCCATCATGCATGCCATACAAGCCATCATGCCACCATGCCATGATGCCAGCGTGCCATCAAGCCATTATGCCACCATGCCATCATGCTCCATGCCATCACGCCATCCCACATAGACCATTGGCAATGCCATTGCAGGGGGATTCACGTGTGGCCATGAATATGCATGCATGTTGCACATTCGTGGCAATGCATGCATGCAAGACAATGGCATGCACATGAATAGATCCGCAAAGGAACATTGTCACTAAATAATGTCACCTACCCTTCCGCTTGCTCTCCTTCTTCCCTCGATAATACCCTGATAAACCCTGGACTCGTTAAACCCTGCACCTGGTAAGCCCTGAGCATTCGATGTCCTATGCTTGCGAGACCGTGGGCTTGGTGAGCCCTACACCTGATAAACCATGGGCATTTAGAAATGTATAACTGACAGGCCGAGGCCTAGATAGAACATTATTGACAAACTCTGGATTGGATAAACCTTGATGAACCCTGTCCCTGATAAACCCGCGCGTGATCTTAGACTGACGTTCCGAGCTCACCTCCTCAGTGACCTCCCGTCGCCGTCGCCAGCCCTTGCGCCAGCTCTCGTCCTTCTCCTGCTTCTCAATCGCCTCCACCACCACCGCCATTGCTGCTCTCTCCCAATCAGCTGCAGCCATCTGTATAACAGCATCGTCCTCATCATCCTCCTCTGCTCCCTCCTCCCCTTCCTGCTCTCCCTCCTCTAAATTCTCCTCGTCTTCGTCTAAACCGTCGATTTCATCCTCCCACTCTTCCTCCTCATCCCACTCCTCCTCTTCGTCCTCCTCTTCTTCCTCTTCTATTTTCCGCACTAGCGGTCCTGGCTTCCCCTTCTCCCCTTCCCCGGACCCCTTAATTGCGCGGAGACAAGCTCCGCGGAATGCGGAGGGCTGCTTGTGCGAGACATCGGAGTGAGATACGGAGAGCAGAAACGACGACTGTCTCCGCCACGGGAGAAGTTCTGCTGCCCGGGAAAGAGGGGCGAGGGAAGGAGAAACAGTATCCATCAGAGCATAATTTTGCTATTTAAGAGGAGAGTGGGGAGCGGAACAAAGTTTTTTTACGAATCGTTAATAGAATATTCTAGAGAAAACAAAACCAGGACACCTCGTTAACAGCAAGGGCTTTCAACTGTCATTGCGATCCGGATGAGAAAACCAAGATACGCTATCTTTCTCAACTTTCAGACAAAATGGCAGGTGCTTTGAGTGGAAACGGTGACTCTGGTCAGGGGTTCCGTGATGAGGGAACTGCGGCAATGAGATTACCAGAATGAAGCTTCGTCGCATGGGTACAGGTAAAAGATCTGCAGACCGCTAGTTGCGACGAGGATGCAGCCATGGCTGCCATTATTTGCTGCTAGATTGATGAGAGGAAGCTGTCACACCATACTTGACCACCAGTCTAGTGGCAATTTCTGGGGTTCAGCGTCCTCGGTAGTGAGAGCACCTCTTTTGACGAAAGACCAACATACACAAATCAACTGCTTAAATAAGAATCTGCTAGATAGCTGTAGCGAGCTAGAAGCTTTCTGCTTGTAGCGGATATCGTGTTGACGTTAACCCACAAGCGATGTGGGTTGCGCTTATCGAGTGCAACAGCCAATAGTGAGTACCTACTCAACCACCCTCCAGAAATTTCTGGTTGCTCACTGCATTCCAATTCCGAGTGGACCAATCAGAAGAATGCGATGTTTCCAAGATCCACCTGGACACAAACCAGGCTCGAAGGCCCAGTAAACACCGAACCAGGGAAGCCGAACCGATTTCGAGTTATGGAAGGCGTGTTTCCATTTCCGTCGTGCAACCTCCCCATGTTCTGAAATCGAATTGCTTTTGTGCCACTGGGAATCGGGGGACTACTGACGTCATTCTTCTCGACATCAGACTGGTTGGGCAAGGAAAAATGACGTCAGGAAAGGAAACCAAGATGAAGTGAATAACGACCGAAGGAGACATTTTGTATTCCGCGCCAATGTACACGATCTCGCTCTCCCTTCCCATCGGGTTGCAATGTGCACGACGATCAGTAGTGCTAGTAACTGTCAGATTCGCGCAAAGCTGATCGTCAGTTCTCGGTCTCAGTATGCTAGCGTGGCTTAGCTCCTAATTCCCTCCGTCTCCGTGCATTACGCTGCTTCGACGATCTTCAAAGTCGTACTATAAGATCAATTGCGCGGTTAGGTCACTGAATCCGGAGCAGTGTCATTTGCGTGTCCCTATCAGGAGCCCAAAATGGCTTCGCATGTGCGAATTTCGCTACTTTTGGTCGTCATGGTCAGCGCAGCAACGAGGGTTTTCGCCAGCGTCAAACCTCTCCGTGGCGTCGCCCCTCAAGGTGCTCTCGGTACCCCGTCGATACCCGTCACACTATGTCAAGCTAGAATACACCTCACGCCGATCGGATCGTGCACAGTTGAAATTCATGAACTTTAAAATTATTCGCCTTTCGGAACGGATCCTGGATTCTGCAGCCGTGGAACGTTCACCCTGATCGTGACCCGGATGTAGCGGGCATCGCATGCTTTTTCGCAAATCCGGACGGCCTCTAGGAGATCGCCAGCTGGACGGGTTTGTGCCACCTGTCTTCGTCGGCTTGTCATTTGCCCAGTCGCTAGTCCTTTCACATCTCTTTTTGCCCGCTCTGTCCTTGCGTTTATCCATGCGTCTGTGCATGTGTGTTGTGTGGGATGACGGAAGAGGCGAGTGGGGAGGGGGTGGAAAGGAGTCTATGTGAGGGTGGTTGGGTGGTTGGATGGTTGGATGGTTGGGTGGTTGGGTGATTGGGTGGATGGGTGGATGGTTGGATGGGTGGATGGGAGATGGATTGATGTCTGGTTGGATATGGGAGCTTGCGGAATGAGGGTTGGATGGATGGGTGTGGGGGGTGGGGAATTTGGGGTGGGTGGGTGAGCGGGACTGGGGCGTGATTGGCTGCAGATAAGGCGCTATTCTCGGGAGAGGTGTTTTCATGCCGGGATGGTTCCAGGAAGTTGCACATCTCGCGAGTGAACGACGACTTCTGCGACTGCCCTGACGGCACGGATGAGCCCGGCACCTCCGCCTGCCCCAACGCCTCCTTCTTTTGTCGCAACCGCGGCCACAACCCCCTCTCGCTCTTCTCCTCGCGAGTCAACGATGGGATTTGCGGTACGTACGTTTGCGTGTTTGTAGCACGTGTTGCGGGGAGTATGCACTGTCCTAAAAACACGGACGAGCCCGGCACCTCCGCGTGCCCCAACGCGTCATTCTACTGCCGCAACCGCGGCCACAACCCCCTCTCGCTCTTCTCCTCTCGAGTCAACGACGGCATATGCGGTACGTGCGTACACGGTACATGGTACACGGTACATGGTACATGGCATGGCATGTGAACGACGATTTTTGCGATTGCCCTGACGGCACGGACGAGCCCGGTACGTGCGTACATGGTGCATGGCATGTGTTGCAACCTTCTTCTTGTTCTCTTCTCCTCTCGAGTCAACGACGGCATATGCGGTACGTGCGTACATGGTACATGGCATGTGTTGCAACTCCTGTGACTGCCCTGACAGCACGGACGAGCCCGGCACCTCCGCCTGCCCCAACGCCTCCTTCTTCTGCCGCAACCGCGGTCACGACCCCCTCTCGCTCTTCTCGTCTTGAGTTAATGATGGGATATGTGGTACGTACGTTTGTAAGTGTCCTGTGTTGCGTGTATGCTCTGCCCAGCTGACTTTTGAGGCTCCTCAAAAGTGGGATCTGTGGTACGCATGTTTGCAAGTGGCGTGTGCTGCGTGAGTGAGTGTGGGTATGCGCGCAGCTTTCTACCCGTTTTCTTAGTTTGAGAGTGCTGCCCAGTTGCAAGGACGGCACGGACGAGCCCGGCACCTCTGCGTGCCCCAATGCCCCCTTCTTCTGCCGCAACCCCCTTCCCCCCTTCCCCTCTTCTCCTCTCGAGTGAATGATGCCTATGACAAGATTGAAATGCAGTGCACATGCTCCGTCGCAATCTCTCCCCTCGCCTCCCCTCACCTCTCTTCATCCCCCCTCACCCCTCCCAAGACTGCTGTGACGGCAGTGACGAGTACGATGGCAGGGTGGTGTGCCCCAACACGTGTGCCCAGGCGGGGACAGCGAGGCGGCAGCAGCTTTCCCTTTCTCTCAACCCGCCCCATCCCCTCACCTCACCTGCCCTCTTAATCGACAGACTGTTGCGATGGCAGTGCCGGGTATGACGGGCGCATTACCTGCGCCAACACGTGCGCCCAGGCGGGGGCGGCGAGGCGGCAGCAGCTGGCAGCTGACGTGGCGAAGCACAGGGAGGGCGTGAGGCAGCGGCAGCGGGCGGTGGAGAGGAGTGCAAATGGCGTGTTGGTGCTGCCTACCCCAACCCAACACGTGTGCCCAAGCGGGGGCGCCTTATACATCCCCTCTTTTCCCTCTCTCCCCACACCTGCCTGTCCCCTCACCTCCTCACACCTTTCCGCGCCCCCCCTCGTCTCCACCCAGATTGCTGCGACGGCAGTGACGAGTACGACGGCAGGGTCACCTGCGCCAACACGTGCGCCCAGGCGGGGGCGGCGAGGCGGCAGCAGCTGGCTGCTGACGTGGCGAAGCACAGGGAGGGCGTGAGGCAGCGGCAGCGGGCGGTGGAGGAGTGGCGGGAGAAGAAGGTGCGGCTGCAGGAGGAGAGGGGGCGTCTGGAGGACGAGGAGAAGGAGCTGCAGGAGAAGGAGAAGGTTCTTAAAGGTATGTCTGGATGTGTGAGAGGAGGGGGGGACGGAGAAGAAAGTGCGACTGCAGGAGGAGAGGGTGGTTAGTGGAGGTGGAGGAGAGGGAGCTGCAGGAGAAGGAGAAGGTCGTGAGTGGGGGAGGGAGAGGGCGTGAGGCAGAGACAGGAGCGACTGGAGGAGGCGGAGGGGGAGCTTCAGGAAAAGGAGAAAACCCTCAAGAGTGTGTTTGAGTGTGTGTTTGCGCGCATGTGTATGGGTGTGGGGGGGGGGGGAGAGCTCTTTTTTCGACTATGGGGGAAAAGAGGCTGGAGGAGGAGGAGATGGAACTGCAGGAGAAGGAGAAGGATCTTCAAAGTGGGACTGGGTCTTTGTGTGTGTTCCTGTGTGTGCGTGCATACGGGCGCGGAAAGTGAAGCTTCTGTTTCGATGACGGGAGAAAGAGGCAGCCGGAAGAGAAGGAGGGTGGTTGTTTAATAGAAGGTATATATGGGCGTCAGGCTGAGTGAGACAGAGGGCTGTGGAATGGAAAGTATGCATCATTTTTGCCCTTCTCCCCCGTTGTTCCCACTCGTCCCCCCTCCTCTCTCTCCCCTTGGTCTGGAGCAGAGAGGAAGGATGCTTTAGAGAAGATAGAGGATGAGGAGCAGGAGAAGCAGAGGAAGATTGAGGAGTATGCATGAATTTTGTGAACACCCTTCTTCTCCCCTTCCTCCCACTCTTCTCCCCTCTCTCTCTTCCCTTTGTCTGGACCAGAGAGGAAGGACGCTCTAGAGAAGATAGAGGAGGAGGAGAAGGAGAAGCAGAGGAAGATCGAGGAGGAGGAGGAGGCCAGGAGGAAAGCAGAGGAGGAGAAGCTGCACCCACCACCTGCCGAACCTGCCGAGCCTGCTGCCACCGAGCCTGCTGCCACCGAGCCTGCTGCCACCGAGCCTGCGGCTGCCGAACCTGCGGCTTCCGAACCTGACTCCGCCGAGCCTGCGGCTGCCGAGCCTGCTTCTACCGAGTCTGAGACAGGGCTTCCCGTGCAGCAGGCAATGGTGGGGGAGCCCCTCCGTGCCGATGCTCCTGACTCTGCTGCTGCTGATGCCGCTGCTGCCACTGCTGATGATGCCGCTGCTGCTGCAGCTGCTGCTGCTGCTGTTGCTGTTGATAGTTTGGTTGCTGGTCATGATGCTGCTGCTGCTCCTGCTGATGCTGCTGCTCCTGCTGATGGCAACGAGAGTGGCAAGGAGGAATCCAATGAGATTGGCAAGGAAACGGACGATGATGAGAGCGATGAGGACCTGTCAGGGCTGTCTAAGGAAGAGCTGGGGCGGAGAATCGCGTCCCGATGGGCGCATGGGGAGGATGGGCCTGGGGGCGCGGAGGTGGGGGGCGGAGAGGGGGACGGGGGGAAGGCGGAGGCGGATGGGGAGGGGGAGGGTGAGGGGGAGGGAAATGATGGGGTTGATTTGGGCGGGGATGACGGGTTGGGGTATGATGATGGGGATGATGATAAGGACTATGAGGACATGGAACACGATGCACATGATGATGAGCATGATGGTGATGGTGGTGATGGGGATAATAGTGATGATGACCATGACCATGGGCATGGTGATGGTGGTGATGATGATGCATTGGAGGATGCGGAGGACTTTGCGGCCCATACGGAGCATGAAGATGATGATCCGTGGCGGCATGAGTCAGGTATGGTGCTGCAGCACATCATGCACATCATGCACATCATGCACATCATGCACATCATACACATCATACACGTAATGATCTACACATCCTGCACCGCACTGCACCGCACCGCACTGCACTGCACTGCCACACCATTCACAAGCAGTTGTATCTTCGTGTCTCCTCCCTCGTCTCATATTCATTCTCTCTTCTCATTCCCCTGCTCTTCTCCCTCCCCTCCCCCGTCGTCTTGTTCCCCGCATCAGCTCCTGCCTCCTCGCCCCCATCCCTGTGGGACAAGGCGAAGCAGGTGTGGTCGCGTGTCTCCTCCCTCGTCTCTAGTCCCCCACTCAAACTTCACCCCTCGTCTTTTCCCCCACCCTGCTCCTGCTCCCCCCCATCAGCGCCTGCCTCCTCCTCGCCCCCGTCCCTGTGGGACAAGGCGAAGCAGGTGTGGTCGCGTGTCTCCTCCCTCGTCTCTGCCAAACCCTCTCTGCCAGTGAACGAAACGGGTGGGTTCGTCAGCTCAGATAAGTGACTGGTACCTAATACAGTACCTGGAAGGCTGGGAATCGGTACCAGGTGTGTTCAAAAGTGTGAGCAGCTGTGGTCTCGTCAGCCTGGTCTCGTCAGCCTAATACAGTGCCTATCAAACCCTCTCTGCCAGTGAACGAGACAGGTGTGGTTCCAAGCACGGGTAACTAGTTAGTAACTACTACTTACCTGGTAGACTTTTGAGTCGACTCAAAAGCCAGTGAATGAAACAGGTGGGGTTCCAAGCACTGGTAACAACGTGATAAAGGTTGAGTTTGAGACGTCTCAAAACTCTCTACCAGTGAACGAAACAGGTGGGGTTCCAAGCACTGGTAACCAGTAACTACTACCTACCTAGTACGATACCTGGGAGCCGTTTGTTGAGACGTCTCAAAAATCATACAATCCCAGCTGTGTAAAACAAGTCAGCACCTTGAAACCTCCCTTTCCTCCCCTCCAACCCTCAAACCAAGACCCGAAAGCGTCCTTCTTCCTCTTCCCTCCCTCTTCCCCCTTCCTCCCCTCCAACCCTCGATCCCTCACATTGATCTGCCTGCAATCCGTTCAGAGTACAGCAATCCCTCACTGTATCTCACCAGCTCAGCAAAACAAGCTGGCAGCTTGAAAAGCCTTTTCCCTCCTCACTTACCCAGACCTGCTGACAATCCGCTCAGAGTACAACATTATCTCATCCCAGCTCAGAAAGACAAGTCAACGCTTTGAGTCCTCCTCCCTCCATCCGCCCTTCACTCTTCCGCCCCAGTGCAGACCTGCTGACAATCCGCTCAGAGTGCAACATTATCTCATCCCAGCTGAATAAAGCAAACCAGCGCCTTGAAACCTCCCTCTCCCCTCCCCCAACTCCCCGTCCCTCCACCCCCCAGACCTGCTTACAATCCGCTCAGAGTGCAACATTATCTCATCCCAGCTCAGCAAGACAAGCTAACACCTTGAAACCCCGCCAAACCCTTCCTCACCTCCTCCCTCCGTCCCTCCCCCCCCCCCCCACCCCCCAGACCTGCTTACAATCCGCTCAGAGTACAACGTTATCTCATCCCAGCTCAGCAAGACGAAGGGGCGGCTGCGCACGGTCAAAGAAAAGCTTGAGAAGGACCTTGGTGAGTGCGGTGTGGTGCGGTGCGGTGCGGTATGGTGTGGTTATGAGCCGAGGGGAAACTGCGGTGTGCAATGAATACGTGAGCAAAGCGAGGGGGCAGCTCCGCACAGTCAAAGAAAAGCTTGAGAAGGACCTGGGTGAGTGTGGTGTGGTGTGGTTTGGTGTGGTGGGGTGTGGTGCGGTGTGGTGCGGTGCGGTGTGGTGTGGTGAGCCGAATTATTGGGCGGCTGCGCATGGTCAAAGAAAAGCTGGAGAAGGGCCTGGGTGAGTGTGGGCTGTCTCTGTGTGTGGGGTGAGTGAGGACTGCTGGTACTGTGCAGTGCTGTGAGGTGCCGTGTGCTACTGTCTCTGCAAGAGTGCAGCACTATCTGATCCCTCCCAGCTCAGCAAGACGAGGGGACGGCTGCGCACGGCGAGGGAAAAGCTTGAGAAGGACCTGGGTGAGTGCGGTGTGGTGTGGTGTGGTGTGGTGTGGTGTGGTGTGGTGTGGTGCGGTGTGGTGTGGTGTGGTGTGGTGGTGTGGTGTTCACGGTAAAGGAAAAGCTCGAGAAGGACCTGGGTGAGTGGAGAGTCGTTCCAAACAGAGTGGGACCATTGTTGCCGAAAAAAACCCTTTCACTTCGCAGTCAAGACAAGCTTGACAGGGTCCTGAGTAGGTGCAGATTTGACGATTTTTGAGTCGACTCAAAAATCGCCTCATCACACGCAGGTTTGAGACTTTTGTTGGCACGATTCTTCACTTCACATGCCCCAATACTGGAATGCTGATACATGACTTCTGACTCGACTCATAAGGATTCTTCGCATGATGGTATTTGCTGACTGCTTTTTTAATTCGCATTATCATCGCCATCCTTTCTTATCGCCTCCTTCCTGACATTTACTTGATTTTTTTATTTTTATTTTCTGCTCTTTTTGCTGCTATTTTTTTCTCTCTTTACCTGCAGGTCCTGACGGCGAGTTTGCTTCATTCGCCGACCACTGCTTCTCCTTCAAAGTCAACCAGTTAAGATGACGTGCCTCACACACACCCAGACCGTACCACTCTCCTCGACACCCTGCCGCACACCCCCATGCCACATAACCCCATACCATACCAGTCAACCACTTAAGCCACCAAACCACCCCCATACCACATAACCCCATACCTCGCATGCGCACGCTTTTATGCCAAACCACACATGCCATACCATGCGTGTCAATGCCATGCCATGCCATGCCATGTCATGCCATGCATTAACTTCTATTTTTCCCCACCATGCAGGGCCCCCCACCCTCCCCAACCCCTTTCTTTCCTCCCCCCAGGTTCGAGTTCGAGGTGTGCCCATACATACCAGGTGAAACACTCGTCATAACACTCTTCATTCGCTTTTTGACTCTCACCCCCCCCTCTCTCCCCGCGCCCTCCTTCCAAGGTATGAGTACGAGGTGTGTCCGTATTGGCAGGTGAAGCAACTCCTTAAGCCTCTCGTCCCCCCTCTTCCTGACCTTCCTCTCGCCCTCCCACCCCCTCTCCTCCCCCCCATCCCCAGGTACGAGTACGAGGTGTGCCCATACCGCCCGCCAGGTGAAGCACCTCCTTAAGCCTCTCCTCCCCCCTCTTCCTGACCTTGCTCTCGCCCTCCCACCCCCTCTCCTTCCCCACCTTCCCAGGTACGAGTACGAGGTGTGCCCATACTTCCCGGTGAAGCACTTTCACCACATTATTCTCTAAGAATTCTCAAGAATGGACGCCCACCATGCTCCTATTGGCCCTCGTCTACCTCTCCCACACCCGTCTACCTCTCCCACACCCGTCTACCTCTCCCACACCCGTCTACCTCTCCCACACCCGTCTACCTCTCCCACACCCGTCTACCTCTCCCACACCCGTCTACCTCTCCCACACCCCCCCTCCTTCCCCCCATTCCAGGTACGAGTACGAGGTGTGCCCATACCGGCAGGTGAAGCAGAAGGAGAAGCATCAATCCGATACCACTGTGGGGTGAGTGAGGGCTGCTGTGCGGTGCTGTGGAGTGCTGTGTTGTTCTGTGGGGTGCTATGTGCTACTGTCGCTGTAAGGAGGTGAAGCAGAAGGAGAAGCACCAGTCCGATACCACTGTGGGTTGAGTGAGGTAGGCTGTGCGGTACTGTGCGGTGCTGTGTGGTGCTGTGTGGTGCTGTGTGGTGCTGTGTTGCTGCTGTGTACCACTGTGCACCGCTCCTTACCTGCCATCATGACCCTTTTTTTGTAATCCCTTTTTTCCACTTACTCCACTAGTTGATGCACTCTCATCCCCGCGATCGCTGGTCGAGATTTGTGTTTTGAGTCGACTCAAAACGTGATCGCCGGTCCAGATTTGAGGAAAGCTATCGCACGATGATGTTTGGAAGCACCTTAGTCGGCTCATTGTGCTTATACCCCTTTCTGTTTACTCTCTTTGTGGACACTCCTTTGTCCCTACAGCCGCTGGTCAGGATTCGAAGACAACTATCGCACGATGATGTTCAAGAACGGGGACAAGTGCTGGAACGGCCCCAACCGGAGCATCAAGGTGTGTGGGGTGCTGTTGTTGTGAGGGGTGTTGGGTCAATGCAGTACCTATGTATGGGTGAGGCTTCGAAGACAACTACCAAACGATGATGTTCAAGAACGGGGACAAGTGCTGGAACGGCCCCAACCGGAGCAATAAGGTGGGTGGTGCTGGGTTGTGGGGTGATGGGTGTTTAACATCCGATGTTTAACAAGAAGGACAAGTTCTGGAGCGAAACCAACAGGAGCCTTGAGGTGGGTGGGTGGTGGTGGCGGTGGGAGGTCGAGGGGTGATATGGGATGGTATAGGATGTTGGGGCAATGTATCGATAATCAAGAAAGGTGATATTCGGTGGAATTAGATTGTGGATCCAATCGTATCACTGGAGGATCTTTCTGATATTTGTTTGGCATATGTCGTGACGTCCAAGTGATTCTCTTAGTTGTCTCGAAATGTTTTCTCATGTGACGCCAGGTGAGGCAGGCGTGTGATTAACAAAAACAAAACAAAAAACACGGAATCAAATTGGTGCAAGGGAGCTTTTGAGTCGACTCAAAAGTCACCTCAGCTCCACTTTGGGTTGAATGCTGGATCTTTCAACCTCCCCTTGTGTGCTTCTCTGCGTCTCCCTGCAGGTGAAGCTGGAGTGTGGACTCAAAACAGGGATAAAATCAGTGGAGGAGCCCAGTCGTTGCGAGTGAGTACCCGCTGTCCAACTTTCGAATCCGCTCTGCATGCATGCCCCTTCCCAGCAACGTCCTTATTGTGGTGTCTGCGTGCACCCACTCCACCCTCACCCAACTTTCTTGTCCTGCTGAAACTGTTCCACCTCTCTTGGAGCCTCTTTCGCCCTCCTCCCCGCTCTCCCTCTCTCTCGCTCTCCCCTTCTCCCCTTCTCCCACTCTCCCCCTCTCCCCCACTTCCCCTATCCCCTCTTCCCCTCTCCCCGCACTCCGCCCTCTCTCCCTCACCCCCACTCCTCCTCTCCTCTTCCCCTCCCCCATTCCCCCCCGCTTCCACCCTCCCCATCTCCATCCACCTTGTCAGGTACAAAGTGGTGCTGGTGATGCTTGAAGTGACTATTGTAACTCCTCAAAACACACGATCTCCCTCGGCCTCTCACCCTCACACCCTCTCACCCTCTCGCCCTCTCCCCCTCTCGACCTTCCCCCCCTCCCCCCTCCACCTTGTCAGATACGAAGCGGTGCTCGTGACGACTGCAGTGTGCAACGCAGAGCTGGCACAGGTGCGGGGGAATGTGACAAACAAAAAAAACACGTTAACCGTCCGTCACTCAAATGTTGATTTTTTCCGTGCTACTGGCCGGCGTGACTCTACCACAAACTTAAGCCATTCTTTCCTCTTTTGTCGAGGTTATTTCTAGTGGACTTGAAGCCACCTGGTGCACAATTTTTTCGTTCTTTCTTTCTTTCCGTTTTACCATCTGTGCTACTTCATTGCAGGAGCTGGAGAGGCAGCTGAAAGAGATGGAGGATGATTTGGCGGGTCACGACGAGCTGTAACATTCAAGACATTGGGTTGTAACAGTTACTGTTTTTTTCGACGAAATTGTAGAATCTACGGTGATGGAGCATGATAAGCTGCACTGCAGGCCTCTAAATTGCTGGCTAGCTTTCTGTCCAGTGATCGTATTGGAAGACCGCGTTGTTCTGATTTCAGACATGCAACATGGCATACCTTTCATATGCATTCACTAAATACACTTCTGGTGCAGGGTGTGGATAATGTATATTGATCTGTCAACAATGATGACTAACTGCACTTGCACAGAAGCAGTCGCAGTCATCCCTGCCCAGAAATAAATTCCAACTTCACACAATATTACAGCAGCCCTTTCATGCCAATTCACAACACATCGAAACCAAACCAGCTACCAGTGCAAACTTGATCGTCGATGAATTTCAACACTTCAACTTTGCCAGCATGCGCACTGCACAGTAGGGGGTTGCGCCCATGTAGTCCCTGAGACTTACAGAATCAAGTGTTCTACTCATGATGACCTTCAGCTGGTGAATTCGTAATCTAGGACTTGCGTGCTCTACTCTTGTTTCTCGGCTGGTGGGTTCTTGATTCCAGCGTAAGTGCGGATGAGATTTGCCCCGCTGGGGTCGGTAATAAGGTGGTGGATGAGGCGGAAGCGGAGAGGGTTGGAGGCGACTAGGAAGGTGGAGAAGGCGAAGAGGGGGAGGTCGAGGGAGGAGAGGTTGGACGCCAGGAAGCCCCGCCATAGCCTGCGGGGTGGAGAGGGGTGGAGAGGGGTGGAGAGGGGTGGAGATGGGTGGAATGGGGTGAACAGGGGTGGAAAAAAGAGGTTCGTGATTCCAGCATAAGTGCAAAGGAGGTTTGCCCCGCTGGGGTCGGTGATGAGATGGTGGATGAGGCGGAAGCGGAGAGGGTTGGAGGCGACCAGGAAGGTGGAGAAGGCGAAGAGGAGGAGGTCGAGGGAGGAGAGGTTGGACGCCAGGAAGCCCCGCCATAACCTGAGGGTGGGGAGGGGTGAAGCGGGGTGGAAAGGGGTGGAAAGTGGTTGAGGGGGGTGGAAAGGGGTGGAGAGGGGTGGAGGGAGGTGGAAATGAGAGGTTTGTGAAAGTGGGAAAGCAGTTCAACCTGAGGGTCAGCTTGAAGACGTCTTAGGTGGCTGGTGCGTCACGCTGCAGAATGAGTGTATTTTGAGTGGGCAATACACGACTCAAAGCTTACCTGGGGGACAGCTTAAAGAATGTGTTGAAGAAGTCTCGGATGGCTGGTGCGTCGAGACGCAGAATGAGTGTTTTTTTAAGTGGGCTCAGAGGTTTCTATTGTAATTGACTCAAAAGCTCACCCTGGGGGAAGCTAACCTGGGGGGCAGCTTGAAGAAGGCGTTGAAGAAGTCTCGGGTGGCTGGTGCATCGAGCTGTAGAATGAGCTCAAGGCCGAATATCATGAATGATTGCTGCCTCTTGCGCTCCGCTGACCACAGGTGGTCCCAGGCTGATAATGCACAGAGCACAGGGTACACAGGGCATGGGGCAACGGGGGCATGCGGCAACGAGAGATCTTTCTATGAGAGGCACTCAATCGAGCAACACAGGGTGACTGTAAGTGTTGGCAGAGAAAAACACATCTCATAAACGGCGCCTGCTGATGTTTGGCTGGGCAGGAGTGTGCTACGAGGCGCCTCAGATTGCAAGAACACATGTCTATGCCATACCTCGCAACCGTGCTGCAACGCACAGCACCTAGACTTTATGCCATCTTACAGCCCCGAAACCGCACTGCACCTATACCCTGCCGTAACTCACAGTCCCACACCAACCTACCTTGAGTTGCAGCTTCTAGAGAAGTTCGGCTGGGAGAGCGCAGAGCAGCAGCGAGGGCAGTGGCATAGTGGGTAGCTCGGTGTTACAGCCCCACAACCGCACTGCACCTAGAACCTGTCGTAACTCACAGTCCCACACCAACCTACCTTGAGTTGCAGCTTCTAGAGAAGTTCGGCTGGGAGAGCGCAGAGCAGCAGCGAGGGCAGTGGCATAGTGGGTAGCTCGGTGTTACAGCCCCACAACCGCACTGCACCTAGAACCTGTCGTAACTCACAGTCCCACACCAACCTACCTTGAGTTGCAGCTTCTAGAGAAGTTCGGCTGGGAGAGCGCAGAGCAGCAGCGAGGGCAGTGGCATAGTGGGTAGCTCGGTGTTACAGCCCCACAACCGCACTGCACCTAGAACCTGTCGTAACTCACAGTCCCACACCAACCTACCTTGAGTTGCAGCTTCTAGAGAAGTTCGGCTGGGAGAGCGCAGAGCAGCAGCGAGGGCAGTGGCGTAGTGGGGAGCTTCGGTGAGAGAGCGAGTGATAGAGTAGCCTGTTGGGGAGGGGGGACATTTGGGAAAGAGGGATGGAAAAACGGGAAGGGAAGGGAGATGGGGTATTTGAGTGAAGCAACAAGCAGAGCCGCAGCAAGGCAGCAGCATCACCAAAACTCACATGGTGCTTGCGTGCTTGCTTACCTGTGACGACGAGGATCTAACGTTCCACAAAGTTGGTGCTTAAAAAAACAAACGCCTAAAGAATTGCTCACCTGTGACGGCAAGAATCTAAGGTTTCATGAAGTTGGTGCTTCAGAATATCCAATCTCCGATGGTTCCTAAGAGTATCCAATCTTGAGAGTTCTTGAGAGTTGGTGGTGCTTACCTGTGGCAGGATGAATCATGGACGCAGCAGCACCAAAGCCCAGGTGCTGCTGCGTGGTAAGAGGGAGAGAGCCGCCCACAGGGATGTAGGACCACTCCTGGTAGGTGGGGCGAAGGGGAGAAGGGAAATAGGGGTGAGGGAGGGCAGGGGCGTGGTAAGCAGGGATGGGGAAAGCCCAGGTGGTGCTGCTTGGTGTGAGGGAGAGAGCAGCCCACTGGGATGTAGGACCACTTTAGGCAGGAAGAGGGGAGAGGGGAAACAGGGTGGGGAAACAGGTAGCAAACAGGGTGGATGGGACGTGGCAGAAGGGAAAAACCAATGTGTGGTTCAAGTTAAAGCCAGGATCTCAAGTAAGAGAATTTGGCATCAACTGCAAAACAATTGACGCTAGGGTCACCCTGTTTGAGTGGGCGAAGTGGAGTGACGGGTTTGGGGTTGACTGTGCGACACATTCCCTGTTTTGCCCCTGCTTCAATTGCAAAACAAATTGCTGGGGACTTCAGACTTTCGGGAATCTGAAGCATTCGCTGGTACTTTAGCTTCGGCCCCGAACCAGTTTCCGTGCCTAGATGGTTCGGAAACAACCTGCGACTTGTTTTTCCTCGCACCCCTCGCTTCACTCCTCGTCAACTTCTGCAGCTCGCCATCCAATCCCAGCCTAGCACTATTCACCAACTGCAAAACAAATGAAGTACTTGAGATCCTCCTCATGTGTCACGGTGTATTTGATCCCCAGCTGCGCCAGCCGGCTGTGCAGGCGCATTTTGAGTTTACCATAACATTTAAACAGTCACCTCAAAGTGGAATGCCAATCATGGCTCTCACCTCCTCGTGCGTGACGGTGTATTTGACCCCCAGCTGCGCCAGCCGGCTGCGCAGGCGCGTCTTGAGCATGTCGAACGGCATTGCAGGGCGGGATGCCAGGCACGTCTCCTGTTGCGAGTAAATGCGTGGGGTGAGGGGTGGGGGGGCCGGGATGGGAGACAGAGATGAGAGAGCGGGAAATATCTTGAGCATGTCAAATGGCATTGCAGGCGCGACGCCAGGCACGTCTCCTGTTATGAGAGAATGTGCGGGTGGAGGAAAAAAGGGGAGACGGAGAGAATAAAGAGACAGAGGGAAGCTTTGGAAGCATGTCAAACGGCATTGCAGGGCGGGACGCCAGGCACGTCTCCTGTTATGAGTGGATGTGCGGGTGTGTGGGGAAGGAGGGTGAGGGGAGACAGAGTGGGGAGACAGAGGGAAGCTTGTAAGTCGATTAGAAACCGCATTACAGCACATCCCCGAAGCAACCAAGGCATGGACATGCGCTCACCTGGAAAAAGACATGTGTGGGGGTAGACGGCATGGTGTAGAGAAGCTGGGGCGCTGAGAGAGCTCCCCCTCAGCTGCCTGTCGTGACATGGTAACCGGCTAGAAGATTACCGATGCTCTCTGTTGCTCTCACTTGGAAGAAGACCCGTGTGGGGGTGGAAGGCATGGCGTAGAGGAAGCTGGGGCGCTGAAAGAGCTCCCCTTCGGCTGCCAGCTCCTCCCTGGAGCGTTGGAGGTCCCGGTAGTCCATGAACAGCATGCTGGCTGGGTTGTACGGGTAGGCTGAGTCCAGCTGTGGGGGGGGGGGGGAGGGAGGAGGAAACAGGCACTTGTGGCAGATTAGCAGGTATGGAGTGGGGTAGCGTATTGCACTGGAGCGTTGGAGGTCCCGGTAGTCCATGAACAGCATGCTGGCTGGGTTGTACGGGTAGGCTGAGTCCAGCTGCAGGTGGAAGAGGGAGAACAGGAAAAACGGGAAAGGAATTGTAGGAAGACTGTCAGAAGGCATGTCATATCCCCCTCTTCTCCCATGCCTGCTCCTCGGTGGAGCGTGTGAGGTCAGAGTCCAGCTGCGGGGAGAAAGGGAGAAAGCACCAGGCAATCGTAATGGCTTTTTCTATTGCAGAGATGAAGTTTTATTCTAACAGGCATAGCGTGGGGAAACGCATCGTGCTGGAGCGTGTGACGTTCTGGTGGTCCGTGAATGAGCATGCTGGTTCTGCATTTTGGGCTCTAGCTGTGGAGGGGAGAAACACAGAATCTTAGGACTGCTGCAAAACTCTAACTTTGAGTAGCCATGCCGCAACCAGAATTTCAAACCTGCAGGTTCAGTCCCATGCATCCTTCACGCTCAACTTCATACCTCCACTTCGATGCCGTATGCTGTTTGCACGCCCACGCCTCTCGTGTCATTGTCGTACTTGAGAAACTTCCCAGAAGCTGCTCCAGCCGCCACCACAACGAGCCTGTTGCATGGCCGGATATGAGGATGAAAGAAACGGAGGAGAGCAACCAGCATACGCCATGTTGCTCCACTAAATAGAGACAGCGCATGAGAGTGCCCATTGCATGAGAAACTTTATCTATGTGTGTTTTGAGTCGACTCAAAATAGAGGAGAGCAATCAGCGTTCCCCATTGTGCTCCACTAAATAGATACAACGCATGAGAGTGCCCCTTGCATGTGCATTTTATTCTTCCTAGTCTGGTACTGCCGCCAGCCCAGCTCACCTGCTGTTGATGCGAGAGCCATCAGTGCATGCCACTGCGCTGCTCCGATGCGATCAAGTGCCTCAAATTCTCATACCAAAGTGCTCATTGTGCGGGCTATCAGGCACTGCCAGGCTAGCTCACCTGCTGTTGGTGCGAGAGCCATCAGTGCATGCCACTGTGCTGCTCTGACATGATCCAATGCATGAGAACTGTACCTCTCCAGATTCCAGGTGCTCATCTTTCCAGTCTGGTACTCCCACGCTAGCTCACCTGCTGTTGATGCGTGACCCATCAGTGCACGCCACTGAGCTGCTCCGTGCATCGTCATCCATGCTCTCCACCTCCTTCTCCACATACCGCACTCCCGCCTGCTGGCATCTGATGGGTAGGGCGAGCAAGGAATGATGCGATAACAGGCGGAATGTGGCTGCTGAGTAGGCTCAAACGCTACTGTGCTGCTCCGTGCATCATCCTCTATGCTCACTGCCTCCCTCTCCACATATCGCACTCCCGCCTGCTGACATCTGGTGTGCAGCACAGAGCGAGCAATAGAGCATTCGGAAACAGGTAGATTGTGGCTGTTGAATTGATACAAACTTCATTGCTGCTCCGCGCATTGTCCTCTATGCTCTCCACCTCCTCCTCCACATATCACACTCCCGCCTGCTGGCACCTGGGGGCAGGGTGAGCAAGGGCAGCGAAGATCTTGCCACCTGGTAAGCACAAAACACGACTTAAGACATCTTGCACCATCATATCATACGACGCCTGTGATGGAGTTGAAAACAGAGGCCAGAGCTGATGGGCGGACCCTCTGTTCGCAGCAGGAATTGGCACCTTTTTGTTGCACGACACACAACTTCCTGGAATCACTTTCGAGAATTCTCAAAAGTGATGTGCGGACCCTCTGCTCGCAGCAGGAATTGGCACCTTTCTGCTGCACGACACACAACTTCTTGGCCGGGAAATACTCAGAGCTGTAAAAATCCAGAACCATGCGTCTCCGGCGCCGCTATAAGAAGTCACAAGTATATTCTAACCTCAGAACGAGCTCGTTGTGGAGTCTTGAGCGCTCTACTCGGCCATACGCCCTCCCCGTGGTGATGGGAACATCGGAGTCTGTGTATAGAATAGTGTCGGTCCACACTTGGTCAATGCAGTGGTCCAACCCAATGGCTGCACGGAGTGTGGGGAGGATGGGAGCAGAGGAGGCAGATGATTAGCGTGGGAGCAGTGGCGGGAGAGGATGGTTACATCCGAGCACGGTTGTCCACAGATGGTGTCGGTCCACACTTGATCGATGCTGTGGGTCCATCCCAATGGCTGCACGGAGTGTGAGAGGATGAGACGGAATGATGATTTTCATTTAAGATTTGAGAAGGGAACATTTTTTAGTCGGTGTGTATAGGATGGTGTCGGTCCACACTTGGTTGAATTTGTCGAGCCAGACGCCGGAGTTGTTGACAAAGGTCCGCGTTTGACACGCTCCGACGAAAGACATGACATTTGAGACGTCCCAGCAGTCGCATACCTTTGAATTCGTCGAGCCAGACGCCATAGTTGTTGACGAAGGGTGCATCTCGGCCAACCAGCCCCACCGTTAGTCCGCGTTTGGCGCACTCTGCCGCGATAGAGAGCCCCGCCGGCCCACAGCCGACCACCAACACGTCGAGCACCGATGACTCTTTGGTGTCTAGAGGGAGGAGCTGTGCGGGTGACGAGCGGAGGGTGAAAAGAGACGAGATGAGTGCAAGGGAGATGATAACAGAATTAGTGAAAAGTACGTCGAGCACGGAAGAGTCTTCGGTGTCTAGAGGGAGGAGCTGTGCGGGTGACGAACGGAAAGGGTAAAGAGTGACGCGAACAAGGTTGGCCTTACCCAATCACATTGCTTTTAAGGCTTAAAATTTTAACGTTTCGTGTAAAATTTCTAAACATTTCTCAGATTCGTAGCTGGATGCGAAGCAATTTCTGGATACAAGTACCTTGCTGGAAATGGTAGCCTGCATCTGGACGTAATGCAGGTCAGAGCCGCCTGCCTTGGTAAAATTGAGGTGTGTTTTGAGTCGACTCAAAACACATTCATAGCAAATCCCGGATTCAAGTACCTTGCTGGCGATCTTTGGCTGATCCTCCATCGGCTTGGTAGCCTGCATCTGGACATAATGCAGGTCAGAACCGCCTGCTTTAGTGAAATCCTCAGTGTTAGCAAACGCTGCTTCGGGAGTGGCTGCTGGTGACTCGATCAATGGAGGAATTGCACAAACTGGCCGGCATAATTGATAGATTCTTTTTGCTGGGATGGAGCTGTGACCAGTGGAAGGACCGTGAATGATAGACAGAGATGCTCCATGAAATCGTGTTCGTAACCGACAACTGCCACCCTTAGTAGATTGACTATGTTCCGAGTTACCTAACCGAAGTGAGGAGAAACGAGTTACAACTGATCCGGCATAGAATTGAGCTGCAGACGACATCCTGAACACTCGTAAAGACTAGCCAGGAAGACGGTTATTAAAAAATTGGTACCAACAGTAACACGACTAACGCGAACCTCGACCCAGCTGGCCTGTACCGACACCACTAATGCAAGGTCGCTGTCCGAAGAAAAGGATTTCACTGAGAGCTATGAGCCTAAAAGCTTCAGGCTGACTGTTCCATTCATTTGCCAGCTGACAAACACCTCCAAAGCAAACCTTGAGAATTCCGCCTGTTCCCACCGCTTCCGCTGCAGAGCTAATCCGCAGTTTAGGATCCTACCGCTGCAGAGAGCTACCGCGCGAATTTCCGCGCGTGCGGCCAGCGAATGGGGAGGCTCCAAGTTTTCAGGGAGTTCGTGCAGCGAATCGGGGGTGACAATTTCGGGGAGGTAAAATCCATGTGTGGGGGTTGTGATTGGCAGCAGTTCATACGCGAATCAGACGTTCCATCCCAAGTACCAGAATACACCAAGGACTCTGACTGAATACACACTGGCTTATACTAGTACGTAGCGACTGTAACAATTCTTTCAATATTTAGTATGAGAATTCCCTGAGAGAAGAAACATGAATATATATAGTATGAGCATTCCCTGTAACTTATAAACGCTCTGCTTCTTAACAAAATATCATGCCGGTTCAGGTTACTACGGTAAGGAAAAGGCAACAAATAAGTAGGTATGCACTAGCATACGGGTATCAGAACTGGGTTCTAGGGGAGCTGGTAGCCAAAGAGGAGCCTTCTGGGGACAAGGATTCTAAGTTGGGATAAGAACCCCAAGACGACATGCCAGACGACTGCTGTGGCACAGCAAACTCCGCACTCAAGCTGCTGAGCGATGCACAGGATCTGCTTCTTGACTCCTCTGAAATAAGACCTCCATCCCTTGTCATCTCACTGCTCTTTTGCGAGCCCGGTGCAGCCCCAGGGCTGCACACAAAATCACATGAGTTTGGAGGCGACACGTGGTTTGCGGGGATGGGAGGAAGCGGTGAGACGGCACGTGGCGGAAGCCGAGCCGACCGACCGGATGCTGAGTTGGCAGACCGGCGGGAAAGACGTGGCTGCTGTTGCTGCTGGTTGTGGTATTGGTGGTGGAGTCTAGGAGAGGACGCCCTTTGTTGGGGAAACATCTGCTGCATCTGCTGTTGCTGCTGGAAATGCATTTGCTGCTGCTGAAACTGCTGCATTTGATTGTACTGTATCTGCTGCTGCCGCTGCTGTTGGTGCTGCATGTGCTGCTGACGCATCATCTGCCGTTGCATCACCATCCATTCCCGCTTCTCCCGCTCCCTACGCCTCTCCTCCGCCGCCCCTGCGTCATGTGGCGAAGGCAACGAGTAACCCGACTTCACACTCCCCTCCTCGTCAGCAATCTCCCCGTCGTCGCATTGGCTCTCGCTGTCCGAATCGATCGCGGTGAACACGCTTCGAGCGTCCGCGGGACTCCCGCCGCGGAGCGACGCCACAAAGGCGGACGCGTCCGCGGGGTGCGGAAGATTCGCCCTCATCGCGCGGTGGTCCAGGCTCGTTCGACGGACGGGTGTCGACGGCGCGGAGGGGAACCGCGCGCGCGGCGCAGGCCGTGGGTCGCGCTGGGAATCGTATTCGCGGGAATCGTTGCGGCTGTAAGAGGCAGATCTCGAGAACGACTGCTGCTGCTGCCACTGCGCCAACCCCGGCGGTGGCAGCGACGGTGACGGAACGAGCCCACATGCAGCCGCGGCCGCGGAAGCGTCATAATCTGGAAAAGCGGGCCGCGTAGATCCATCTTGCGCGCTGCCAGCGCTGCGGTGAAGCGCGCGCCGCCCGCTCCTTCCGCCGGTTGCGCAATCGGCGGAATCCAGGGCGGAGAAGCCCCTAGCGATATCGCCGCCCTCGAAGTCAGGGAAGGCGGCGGCGGAAGCGGATCGGACTGACGGAGCCGGCGAGGGGGAGCGCGACGAGCGCATGCTTCCGCCCGCGCCGCAGCCTCCGCAGGAGCGGCCGCACGACGGCTGGCGCTCAAGTTGGGAAAACGCCGGACTCTGCTGCCCTACAGCGGCGTTGTAACCGTTGAACTCGCTGTCGTAGCCGCCGCCATTATCGTAACCGCCATTATTGTAACCTCCATAGTTATAAAGATCATTGAGTGAATTTACCCGCTTCGGCTGGGAGTGACAGCGCATGTTCGTCTCGTCTTGCCAAAGTTGGCGCGCTTCGGAAAGCGACGCGGCGGCGGACCTGGCGGATGAAGCGTCAGAGACGGACGCGCGTCGCGACGCGACACGGTTGGCAGCCTGAAGCGGCGAGATCATCTCCTCTTCGTCGTCTTCTGACGTGGCGTCAAAGACGTAATCAGAATGACGCATGGAAGAAGAAGCAGCGACCGCGGCGGCAAGGGCAGCGACATCGCCGCTTTGTTGGCGGCTGAAAAACGCGCCGGTATCGAGCGACATGCGGCGCGGAACGAAGCCATTTTGTCCATTCTCCGTCAAGAAGTCGCCTTTCCGTTCGGCTTTCCTCGTCTCCTTGCGAGCACGGCGCGGCGCCGGCCCGTTATTGCGATCGCTGTCAGGTAGAAATCCCTTAAAATCCTCGTTAGACGGGAGAGACTTGGCCCCTTTCAACGGTGACTGTTTGGTCTAGTGGTATGATTCTCGCTTTGGGTGCGAGAGGCCGCGAGTTCGTTTCTCGCAACACCCCTGTTTTGCCCTTCTGAGTGGCTACTAAATTCCGTTACCGGATCTGTTTCACTTTCTCCGAAGTCTACAACCACTTTGAGGCTACATGTGTTACGAGTGCAATTGAGTGATCGAGCGAGAATTGCACTATCGAAGCAAGAGTACAATGAGCGAAGAATATATAGCGAAACTATAGTGGTAACGGTAATGCGTGGAAAATGGGGTGCGCGACGGGCCTGGTGCCGAGGTTGGGAATGGTCGAGGCGGAGGTCCAGAGTCGGATATTCCGGATATTCCGCCATGATATCCGCGACGGTCCTTCCCCGCCGAACATCTCCATGCTGCCGTCGGGGAGAAGGAGCGAGACGAGCTTGTCGCTGCTTCGCGAGCGGAGGAGCTTGTCAAGGCCCCATCGAGACATCGCCATCGCCATTCGGATCGCTCAAAGAATCGAAATTTACGCCTGGACGACGCCGCGTCGTCCTGGAATGGAGGAACGTGTTCCTGACGGTCCGCTGTGGAGAAAGTTACCAGTTTCGATCAGAAGAGGTCGAAGTGGGAAGCAAAACTTGCTCTAGTGCGTCAAGCGAAGCGAAACTTTTGAGAACGAGATTGAAATTAGTTCGAAGGTGTGAAGCAACATTTATCTCATGGTTGCTGAGTTGTGTACACGTGGGTCGATCGAACTCGTGGAGGATGGAATGGGAGAGACGTGAAGAGTTGAGCAAGAGACGCGTTGCATGTGCTGTTGAGAAGAGAATGCTGAAGCGGAGGGCACAGAAGAGGTCGCAGAAATCGTGTGTGGTGGATTGTCAAGGCAGGTGGGAAGTTGGAGATTGGTGGCGATCCGAGGCGCGGTAAGGCGAGATGATGCGAGGTAGGCGATGCCAAAGTGTATGTGGTAACCTGAGTGGCGACGACATGGGTATGGTTGAAGCGAGGGCATTGCGGAGGAAGCGCGCTGAGCCAAGCAAAGCAACAAGGGTGTGCTGTGCGGCTCACGGGGAATCCGGGCTGCGCTGCGGGGTTCGAGTTTTTCCCCAATGACGTGGGCCGAAGGAGTTGAATGCGGGGGCAAGTGGAGTGCGAATCAAATCTGAAGGAACAAGTCGCGCGCGCCCCTTTGCACAACTGAATTGGAAGGGACCAACCAGGCCAGCAGACCAACTCAATTCGAGATTCACGCGGAATCTATGGGACAGCTGACAAAAAGTCTCATTGAAAGAAACTCCCATCCGTGGCCGTCACTGTCGCGAGTGTAAGGGCGGGGTGCATCATGCTATTTTTCAGGATCGCGATCTCAAGCGATCCTCACTACAGTGTTTTGTCTTTTGCGCACAGTATTTACTGTAGCGTTGCTGCACCACGACCTTGGGGGATCGCGAAAACTGCCACCCAACCACCCTCGATCACGCTGGATCTCAAAGCCTGCGATCCCACGCGATCAAGGGTTGGAGGTGCACCACGTGCACACCGAACCTTCTCGCGAAAAAAATATTGTCGCCGAACAACAAAACGAAAAGAGGGCGAGGTAAATACGAAACGGTTACGGAATAAACGCTGAAACCAAAATGTACAGGCGACGCCTTGACCGCGTCTCATTGGTGGTTGGGGTCGGGACTGCAAAACTGCAGGTGGGGGTACCATTGGGTCGCAGGGGACCCCCAGCACGCCCAACCCAACCAGATTCCACAGGGTTGCAGTTCTAATATCGCGATCATGCAATTTCATGCAATTTCAGCATGATGCACCCCGCCCTAACTGTCCACTGGCGAATTTTCCTTCTGTTAGCTACAGTTGATCACATTTCTGGTGGCTGTGGAACGAACAGCAATGATAGCCAATGACATAAAAAATGCTGATTACTCAGGGTCCCTGAATTCCCACGTCATCCAGAATTAGTGGGTCATTTGCGAGCTTGTACTCATTTGAATGAACTGAGTTTCCTTTCCGCCAAACCTGCCCTGCAACCAAACCAAACCATGTTTCGCACGCATTGTCCAGGGTTGTCTTGTAGTGGTCCCTTCTGCTGCAAACTGGCCAGCTGTGCCATTTCTGATTCCGAATCCATTACTATAGCATTCGATTTCCTCATAAGACATTTGTTTTATGGACATCAACTATGGAAAACTAGAAAGCTTTCAGGCTTCCTAGCACGTATGAGTCAAAAGGAGGACAGCACCAGTACCGTAGTTGCTAACGCACGAGCTTATACGAAGCATGTTTTTCTCAAGCAACCATATCCCCCACTCCACTACCATTACCATCACCATCATCGCCTCGCCATGCCCCGCCTTTCGCTCCCCGTCAACTCCGCCGCATGCGCCGAGTCGCCCGCCTTTCTCCCTCACCGCAGCTCCGCAAACACCCACATATCGATTGCCGTGAACGGCTGGCAAGGAAGGCAGTTTGTTACTAGCTTTCAGGCTAGCAATGACCCTGTTATAAGCACATTCCACAATCTAGTAATTCTCTCGTCCGTCTCGCGTCCGATTTCCTTCAATCCCCAATCTCGTTTCAAGAGAACAAATCCAGCGGCTCCGCGCATATCGAGCCACTCGCAGTTCGCAAATTGCGTTCTTAATGGCGATCCTTCCGCTGTACATAACACCGCTATCGGCTCTCAGTCATTCCGACGGTCCACAAATTACCTAACTACCGCTAACCGCTTAGCGATCGACGCGTCGTCTTTTCCAGCGTTTTACAGGTCAATTTCCTCTCGACGTAGTTCTGTACAGGTGAAACCAGCAGACGAATCGCCTGAAAATTCACCTGATGATGAGTATGAGGATTTTCGGGATCTTCGGCCCGAAGACCTGCAGCGATTATGCGAGTCAACGGGGTCAACGGGGTCAACGCAGTCAACGCAGTCAACACAGCAGCCGGATCGCGTCTTTGTGGCGTCGATTCCGCTGGACGCGCCGGCAGGACCACCGCAATGGGCTGCTGACGTGGCAGGACGGCTGTTTCCTCAGCTGTGCAGTCACTGGGTGGTGATTGTAGCGAGAGAAAATGGAGAGGTGAGGCTTTTAACGGAAAACTCGGTAGTTTCAAAAGATGCCTCATTTCCAGACGTTGGGATGTCACTAACTAGGCCCGTTGATTTCCACACACTGTCTTCCTTCCTCCCCCTCCTTCTCCCCCTCTCCTTCAGTGCTACCTCTTTGAATTTAGGCCTGGTGACCCGCAGAACATAAGAGTTGGGCTGTTGCTTAGCCTGCTTTGTTCTACTCACGTTCTCCCCTCCTCTCACTTCCCCCCTCCCCCTCCCTGCTCTCCCCGCTCCAGTGCTACCTGTTTGACTTCAGGCCGGATAACCCACAGAACATGGGAGTTGAGTTGTTGCTACCTGTTTAGCCTGATTTCTTCGTTCTCCCCTCCTTCCCCTCCCCCCAGTGCTATCTCTTTGACTTCAGGCCGGATAACCCACAGAACATGGGGGTGGCTCTTAAAGTGCTGGCGCTGCAGCCTGTGCCTGGTGAGTTGTGTGCGTGGCCTGGGTGGGTAGGTGGGTGGGTGGCCTGGGTGGGTAGGTGGGTGGGTGGCCTGGGTGGGTAGGTGGGTGGGTGGCCTGGGTGGGTTGTGCTGTTCTCAGTCAGTGGTACTGGCGGGTAGGTGGGTGCATGCGTGGGTGGGTGGGAGCTAGCAGAACATGGGGGTGGCTCTCAGAGTGCTGGCGCTGCAGCCTGTGCCTGGTGGGTGGGTGGGTGAGTGGGTGGGTGGGTGGGAGCTGCAATTGTCACATGCCTTGTCACATATCTTGTCACATGTCCATGCCCACAGAACATGCGGGTGGCTCTCAGAGTGCTGGCGCTGCAGCCCATGCCTGGTGGGTGGATCGGTGGGTGGGTGAGTGGGTGGGTAGAATCTGCATCTGTCACATGTCTTGCCTTGTTCCAAGCCTTGCCTGCATGCCATGGCCTGCCATGAGTTCCCTATGTTTCCTGCACTGCTCCTGTAGCAGGTGGGTGGGTGGCAGCAGCATCCTCTTTCACATGCCTTCAGGCGGTATACTCATTCCTGCGCTTACAGAGTGTTTTTGAGAATTCTCAAAAACACTCTGCGCCCTAACTTCCCGCCCTCCATCTAACGTCCCGTCCCTCAGGCCACGGGTCCATTCGATTGCTGTCCCGCTTCCGAGGCGCCTCAAATAGCCGACTTTTGAGGCGCTCAAAAGCCTTCCTTCTAACGTCCCCCAGGATACGAGCCCATTCGATTGCTGTCCCGCAGTCTTCCAGCAGCCGCTGGTGCCTCAGCACGCCTGCTGAATGCGTTTTGAGACGTCTCAAAATCAGCACGGCTGCTCATTGGGGAAAAAAAAAAGGAAACATTCTTTTCCTCCTCTTCCTTCCTGCTCACCATCCGAATGCCTCCAGGCTATGTGCCCATTCGCCCGCTATCCTCCCTCCCCTCTTGCCGCTGCTGGTGAATTGGCTCATCTGCTCACCACGTCTGGTTGGCCCCTTACTCTGCTTCCCTCTCTCTTGACATCCTGCTCTCCCTCCATTTCCAGGCTATCTGCTCATACTCTCCCTCCATCTCCAGGCTATTTGCTGGTGCATAGGCTCGTCTGCTTCCTACGTCAGATTGTCCCCTTTCTACGCTTCCCTCCCTCTCACCATCCCACTGTCCCTCCATTTCCAGGCTATCTGCTCATTCGTCCGCTCTCCTCCCTCCCCTCCCGCCGCTGCTGGTGTCTTGGCTCGTCTGCTCACTAGGGCAGATTGCCTCATTGCTCTGCTTCCCTCCCTCTTACCATCCTACTGTCCTGCCAT